GTTGGGAAGCTGATTTATTTATCCCATACGAGGCCAGATATTGCTTTTGCTGTCAGTGTAGTAAGTCAATACATGTGTGATCCAAGGAAGAGACACCTGGAAGCTGTATATAGGATTCTCAGATACCTTAAGGGTACACCTGGTAAGGGATTGTTATTCAAGAAGCATGATCAAAGGACAATTGAGATTTACACCGATGCAGACTGGGGGGGGACTTATGGAGACAGGAGATCCACCTCTGGCTATTGTTCATTTGTGTGGGGAAACTTAGTAACCTGGAAAAGTCAAAAGCAAAGAGTTGTATCCAGAAGCAGTGCTGAATCAGAATTGAGAGCATTAGCTCAAGGAATTACAGAAGAACTATGGATAAGAAGGGTCATGTAAGAAATAGAAGTCAGAGTTGATCCACCAATGAAATTGTATTGTGATAATAAGGCTGCTATAAGCATGGCATTGAATCCTGTACAGCATGAGAGATCTAAACATGTTGAAGTGGATGGACATTTTATCAGAGAGAAAGTAGAAGGAGGTATTGTATGTCTGACATACCTACCTACAAAGTTACAAGCTGCGGATGTACTAACCAAGGGGCTACCCAAGCCTGCATTTGAGAGTTGTATAAGCAAGTTGGACATGATTAGCATCTATGATCCAACTTGAGGGGGAGTGTGGGAATATTATGTTATTATTGAGAATTATTAGCATTTATTAGGATCTCATTAATTAGGCTTTATTAGTATTTATTAGCTTTTATCTCTCTTGATGTATATATATAGGACCAGTGTGTACATTAGAATTGTAATGTGACAATACAATTTTTTCCTCTCTGAAAATTCCACACTTTCAAAATTATTGAGAAGGTGGGAGCAGTAGCATATCAACTGGAATTATCACCAACAGCCTGCATTCATCCTATTTTTCATGTTTCAAACCTCAAGAAATCTGTCCACTCCGCAACAGTGATTCCTACCCTCCAGCACTATCGGAAGAGTTGGAATTACAAGTGCAGCTGCATGACATTCTCAAAGTTAGGAAACTCTTGAATGGTCAATTAGAAGTCCTCGTGAAGTGGAAAGACATGCTGAATTTCAAGAGTTCTTAGGAGAGTGCTGAAAGTATATCCCAACAATTTCCTACCTTTTCCCTTGAGGATAAGGTGAAACTTTTAGAGGTGGGTAATGATGAAATTTCTTTTGCTGCACAAACCTATAGGAGGAGAAACATGAAACTACAAACCTATAAGTGGAGAAATAGGAAAATGAAAGAAAATGGCATAGCACCTTTAGGAGGGGTTGAATGTTGACTTTGCTATTCTTACTCTTAAGAGGAAAGCTACACAAATTTAGTGTTGGTTGGAGGGCTTTTTAGGTTTGTCTTAGTAAAAAATGATGTTGAAGATTGTGCAAGATACTTTTAAGGTTATAGTAGTCACTAGTGTCTTGTGGGGGGGAGTCATATTTTGTATTTGAAGTGAGGGGAGAGATAGGCTCTCGAAAACTAAAGGGCATGCCTTATGTCATTGCATTGTGATTGTTCGATTGAATATTTTGGTTGTTGTAGGAAATAAGGTTTGTTCTGAATCAGTGGAGTGTTTTTGTAACACTGATTTAGTCTTTTGAAATCATTAATATTAAACCTTAGCATTTCCCTTGATCTTTTGGCTGTCTTATTGTTGTTTTTTCTATATTTTTGAGCACTGAACAGCAAGGTTCAATCAAATACTATCAGGTCTAGTGGCTCTACCATTTTCCATTTTCTTAAGAACATATATGGGAAAAGTGAGCATGGCATCTATTGAAGAGAAATGATAGAAAATTATTTAAGATGGTTTGAATATGTACAAAGAAGGCCATGTGAGGCATTGGTGAGGAGAGTAGAATAACTGGTCTTATGCCCTATAAAGAGGAATAGATGAAGACTAAAGAGAACATTCAGAGATGTTAAACTTTTTTATTTTCCTTCTTTTTGTATCATTTTGTTTTTTTATATATTTGATTTACTTAAAAAAATATGCTTGGTTGTTGATAGGGTATAATGACGTCATGCAATCTATGTAGTTGATTACACCTAGTGGTATAAGGATTGTTGCTGTTGTTATTATATTCCTATAGTTAGCTAGGATAGACATTTTTTACATATGATAGTATCATTAGTTTGCAGTTAGTATGGGATAACAAACACACACATAAGTATATAAGTATTTTATTGACAAATGCTTAGTTGACAAGTCAAATTTCATTCATTTCTTTTTTGTCTTATTTAACCAAAATATATCTATCATGCTTTGATGTTGCCTATAATTGCAAGTTAAGAGATTTTTGATTTAGGAGTGCCTAGTTAACAACAATAATAAGCCTTATCCTACTAGGCGGGGTTGACTACATGGATTATATAATGCTATTGTACTCTATCATTTATTAAATTTTTATGAATATTATTAATTAAAAGGTCTCGCTCAATAACCTCCAAAAATGTTCTCTTTAGTCTTCCTCTACCTTTCTTGACAGGGCTCAAAGTCATCTGTTCCATTTCTCTCATAGGTGCCTCTCTTGGTCTTCTTTATATATGTCTGAACCACCTCAAGTGATTTTCTATCATTTTTTCTTTAATAGGTGCCACACCTACTTTTACCTGTATTCGCTCATTTTGAATTTTGTTTTTACGTGTATATCCGCACATCCATATCAATATTTTCATCTCTACTACTCCAACTTTATGATCTTGCTGTCCCATTAAAGCCCAACATTCACTATCATATAAAATTGTTGGTCTTATAGCAGTTCGATAAAACTTTTTTTTAAGCTTATCAGGTACCTTACGATTACAAATAACTCCTTTAGTCTTTCTCCAATAAAACCACCCCGCTTGTATTTAATGTGTAATATCTCCACCAATGTCTCCATTTTGTTGAATAATCGCTCCCAAATATCTAAACTTTTTCACTTGAGGTATGGTCTAATCACCTAATTTCACTTCTAAGTTACTACTCATTGACCCCTTATCAAAGTTACAATGTAAATATTCTGTTTTACTCATACTCAAGTGGAAACCTTTTAACTCCAATGTCTTCCTCCATAACTCAAGTTTACAATTTATCTCTTTTCTTGTGTCTGCAATAAGAACTTTATTATTTACAAAAAGCATGTATTTAGGAATTTCCTCTTGAATATGCTCAGTCAAAACATCTAACACTAGATCAAACCAATAAGGACTCAAGGATGATCCTTGATGCAATCCAATCTTTATAGGAAAATTTTTTGTTTTACTACCAAGCATTCTTATACTAGTTGTTGCCCCCTCATACATATCTTGTATAGCTCGAATATAGGCAACCCAGACACTCTTCTTTTCCAAAGCCTTCCAAAGTACTTCTTTCAATACACGATCACAAGTTTTTTTCAAATTAATGAAAACCATACGTAAATCTTTGCCTTTACATTGATACTTTTCCATTAATCCCCTTAGTAAATAAATAGTTTCTGTAGTCGCTCTCCCTGGCATGAAGCCAAACTAATTCTCCGAAATTCCAGTTTTCAATCTCAACCTATGCTTAATCACTCTTTACCATAATTTCATAATATGACTCATAAGTTTAATCCCTCTGTAGTTAGCACAATTCTGAATATCTCTTTTATTGTTATAAATAGGAACTAAGATGTTTCTTCTCTAATCGTCCGGCATTCTCTTGGATTATAAGATCTCATTAAATAACTTAGTTAACCACCGCATTCCTTTTTCACCCAAACATTTTCATATTTCAATAGGGATACAATCAGATCCATTGGCTCTGCCATTTTCCTTTTTCTTAAGAGCTTCTCTCACTTCTCAAGCTAGTATTCTTCGATAAAAAGACAAATTTTGCTCTTTCAGAAGTTACTAAATCTTTCAAGTTAATTGATGACCCCCCATCATCATTGAAAAGCTTAGAAAAGTATGTCTCCTATCTGTTTTTAACATCATTATCTATGACCAAAACATTTCTCTCTTTATCATTTATACACCTTACTTGTTCCAAATCCCTTGATTTTCTTTTCTTACTCTTAGCAACTTTATAAATTTTTCATTTTTCATTCTTTGTCCCAAGACCATTATAAAACTCTTCAAATGCTTTAGAACGGGCTTTACTCATGGCCCTCTTAGTTTCCCTTTTAGTCATATGATATTTTTCTCAATTTTCATCATTATTGCACAAATATATAAGATATTTTTTATAAATATATATAACTTGTGACACTATTGCTAGTTGATAGTTAGTCTAGGTTGATAAATTTTTTGTTGACGGATGAATATGACCTCCGGTCCTTATTATGAGATATTTTTAATCACTTCACTGAAATTAAGGAAAGGTGGTTAAGTTATTATTTTTTTTTTGAAAAAGAATAAACTTTCAACTTTACTCATATTTAAAAGAAAAAATTTCAAGTATGCATTACACTCTCTTGCATTAGAAAAACGCAATTAATATTTCACCAACTGTCTTATATTAAGGACTAAAGAATCCCTTTAGAAGAAGCCTTATAATAAGGATTGGAAGGAGTACCTAGTTTGCAAGCCATGTGACACTTTAGACATGATGCCACATGTTTTGATGAAAAAAATAACAGGGATACCAAGTGCTCCCAATTTTTAAATGTTGTGGTGCCAATTACTTTTTAGTAGGACAAAAATACTCTTTAATCCAAAGTCAATCTGTAGTTAACAGTCAGCATGATGTCTATTAGTAAAATGATAAAATTGCAAAAGTGTTCATTTATATATTCACCTTCAATTTATTGAATCGCCTATATCTAATGACTAGCTTCTTACCTATTTAATATTTTTCCTCTCCAACTTTTCTCGAGTTGAGCTATATATGATTTTACTCTTAATCTCAAGGCAAAATGGCATTAGTACTGCTGAAGACTAAATTCAACAGAATGCCATTCTGACAGCTTTTTTCAGGTAGGAAGGTATTTCCATGAATGTTTACACGCTCCCTTCTTATTTTCTTGAGTTGGTAGGTGCAAGAAAAGGCGCATTCTTTTAATGGAGAGGAAGAGTGCTTGTGCACCTTTTCACTTCTCTGGTTACATGGACCTGTTGTTGGAATTTACAGTAATGCAAGTGTTGCGGATATTTGCAAAATTCAGCCAACTTCAGGGCTGGATCCTGTTGTGGCTTCATTTCTAAAGACTACTAGGGATAGAACTGAAGTTACATCTAATTCCATTTCATTTTCCAAGGTAGTAAGTGGACAGGAAGGGATACATCCATCCAAGAAATGTGGTTTTCTTGAGCGCCTATACAAGGCAAGATATATGCATATTTATCTCAGCAGAAATCTCTAATTACTAGCTTTCATTATGAGGAAATGAAATCATACCACATATTTTATTTGTGGGTAATTTTTAGTGTGTAACATCATATTTACTTGTGCAGGAAACTCGCTGTGCCAGGCGGTCTGTCAGTAAAACATCATCTTCATGTGCGAGTTTGTATATGTCATTCACTGCTTTTTTGGTGATTTATTTAAGTTCAATTCAAGGTGATACATGTTTTTTTTTTTTGTGTTTTCTTCTTTATTTTTTGACTTTTTGTTATATCAGATAGGATTGCCAAGCTTCTTAGCAACAGGAAGGAAGACAGAGATCTTGGTGGAAAGAAAAGCATGTTTATGATATTAGTTGGGAATCTGGATAAAGCGTTATCTCCAACAACAATTGGAGAATTCTTATATGGACACACTTTTGTATCACCCAAAGTGTTTGCTTTTCCAAGTTTATCATCGGAGTTGTTTACCAGAGGGGCCTTCATCGTTGATAGTGAAGGGGATTTTAAAAGGGTTCGCAACTTCTTGAGCGATCCCACTCAGATAATAGTATCTTCAACAGGAAGGTACGTAGGGCTTACAATTGCTTTTTTTTTTGGGTGTAAAATAGATTAAAAGAATAGGCCAACTTACCATGCAAAGCTCTCCTTTCTATTGCTTTATCTAGAGGACTGGCACTATATGGAATCCATTTATTTTTTATTGTTGTTTTATATTTAAGGGATGTTTCAAATGTTGGAAGGTCAAATAAGTTAAGACATGAGTTAACTTTTGTATTTAGGATTTAAAAATTCTTGCAGGTCAGTAGCTATAAATGGCATATCAGATGATGCTGATATGAAGGTTGAGGCCCAACCGTTGTGCAGTCAGCATTATATGTCTTTAAACTATCCTTTATTTGATATCCTTTCCTTATATTCTCAACAAATTCATTCAAGTAGAGTAAATTCCTGTCTTAAGCTGCTCGTGGAACAGCTGATGCCTCGTCAAATGCATTCAGAATTTTTCATTCAATATTTTAGCCCTGAAATTCCTAGATAGTAGTGACAAGTAATGCCTCTCCGGTCATAAGCTTCTGTCTATTTAAGTTGTAGAATTGTTTTAATCTGCTTTATCTTTTTGACCAAAATAACCTAAAACTATAGTTTATTAAGAAATTTATTGTCCAAACATTCTATTTTAATATTATTTATTTGGTTAATGGGCAAATTTGTCCCGAAAATTTTTCACTAAGTGTAATTGATATTCTTATTTTTCGATTAGCGCAATGTTACTCTAGAAGTTTTAAAAATGATACAGTGTTGCCCTATAATATTTGACAAATGTTGATCATTAGTTGAACAATTTTGAACACGGTTAAAGTATAATTTTGCCTTAGAAGTTTTTCTAGAAGGGGCAATTGGCATTCTCAACTCTTGATTAGCATAATATTTTATGCTTATCAATGTTCAAATCTGAAGAAGGATCTAACAATTTATCTTTAATGTTAAAAAATGGTCTGTATCCTCATACTCTACCTAGGCACTCTATAGACTTGCTCTAGTAAAGTTCGAGCTTTTCGTTATATTGGCCATGAGCAAGTATTGATGTGTGTCTATGAGTAGGTTTGGACTAAGAGATAAGGAGTTTTGGTGGTAGAATGGGAACGCACAAGATAAAGTCAAACATTTAAGAGTGTTTTGAAGCCATACATTTTTGCAATAATGCTAAAAATTGGGAAAAGTATTATATGGTTAGAAAGGAGACTAAGAAAGTAGCAAGTGAAGCACGTTTTAATGTGTTTGAGGAGTCTTACAAGGCAAAGGATGGGGAATGAAAAATTTACAAGATTCCAAGGATGGGGAAAGAAAATCAAGAGATTTGTACCTAGTAAGGTGTCTAGAGGATCTAGAAGGAAAAGTTATGGTTACAGATAGAGATGTTAAAAAAGGTGAGAAGCCTACTTTACAAGCTTTTCAATGATGAAGGGGTCTTGACTAGTGACTCATAGAATTTAGTAACTTGAGAAGGTGAACAAAATTTGATGTTTAATCATAGGATTCTTGACAGTGAGGTTGAGGAAGCTCTTAAGAAAATGAAAAATAGTAGAGCCAGTAGACCTGATGGTATTCCTATTGAAGTGTGAAAATGTTTAGGTGAAGAGTAAGTGCTATGGTTAACCAAGCTATTTATTGAAATCTTACAATCCAAGAGAAAATGTCTGTGAATAGAAGAGAGACTTTAGTGCAAATTACAAAAGAATTAAGCTCATGAGTCATATGATAAATTGTGAGAAAGTGATTGAAAATAGGTTGGAGTTAAAGGATGGTATTTCTAAGAACCAATTTGGATTCATGGCAGTTAGGTCTATGATAAAAGCGATATATCTACTAAGAAGATTAATAGAGAAGTATCAAAGCAAAGAAAAAGATTTTCTCATGGTTTTGGTTAATTTGAAAAAAGTTTATGATCATTGATTAAGAGAAGCGCTTTGGAAAGCCTTAAAAAAGAAATGTGTTTGTGTTGCATATGTCAAAGCTAGGGAGGAATGCAAGGGGGGGCCGGGGGGTGCTAGTCCCCCCACAATTTCATTACCTCTTTGATTTTTTTTATTTTGCACATAAAAATTAGTGTTAGCCTCCTTATATTTTAAGTAGTTTTTAATTTTGCCCCCTATGTTTGTTTCTAGATTTGTCATTGGTCAAAGCTATACAAGAACGTTTGCTAGTGAGACAAAGGACTTTCTTATGAGAATTGACATACTTCAAGTATCATTTTTGAGCTATTACTTGTTTGACTTGATTTTAGATGTTCTAATTGAGCAAATACAAGAGGAAATCCCTAAATGCATTTTTTTTAATGATATAGTTCTTATTATGGAGTCAAGAGGAGATTGAGTTATAGAGAAGGACCTTGAAGTCGAATGGTTTTTGACTAAGTAGAAGTAAGACAAAATATATGTATTGTAATTTTGATAAGAGATTGGTTGGTAGTAATTTTGAGGTTAGATTGGGAGATCAAATTATACCATAAGTGAAAAAGTTTAGATATTTGGAAACAATTATTCAAAATGATGGTGAAATTGATGGATATGTTACATATAGGATACAAGCGGAGTGTTTCAAACGGAGAAAGGCTACATGAGATATTTATGATTGAAAAATACTAAATTAACTTAAAAAGGAAGTTTTGTCGAACTACTATAAAATTAACTATGTTATATGATAGTGAATGTTGAGTTTTAAAGAGATAATAAGAGCTAGAGTTGGAATAGTAGAGATAATAATGTTGAGATGGATGTGTGGGCATATAAAAAAATTAAGGTTTGTAACGAGCATATATGAGAAAAAAATGGGTATGGCATCTATTAATGAGGAGATGATAGGAAATTGTTTAAGATGGTTTGGGCATGCTTGCAGAAGTTTGTAGGAGATGCCGATAAGGAAAATGGAATAAATAGTGTTGAGCCTTGTGAAGAGGAGTAGAGGAAGACTAAAGAATATTTAAAGAAATTGTTGAAGGAGATCTTTTAGTTAAAAATGTACTCAAAGGCTTGGTTTTTGATAGAGCAAAATGGCATGTCATCTAATTCATGTAATTGATCCCACCTAGTGGGATAAATCTGCTTGTTGTAGTAAATAATTATGTGTATGTATATGATCAATAGTGTAATTTTAATTGACTAATTATAAAACTTGAACTTTCAAAATCAGGCCATTTCTTTGTAAAGTAGAGCATAATATACCTTTATCTTTGTCAGGCCATGGGTGATAATTGAAGAGGTAGTGGGGCTTTAAAACGTCAAAGCATCAATGGGAACACTGATGCCTGCATCTAAGGTAACTTCGCATCTCCCCTTTAGCCAACAAAAAATTCTTTTAGGACATGTTACTATTTGTTTGTATGGTTTATAGTGTCATTGAACCCCTTTGTTCGATTTTTTAAAAATTCTGTAGAAATATTTGTGGCTGCTAAAGAAATGATCTGTTTCATATGTATGAAATTTTTTGTTGTGTTTTCATCTATTATTTGAAGGACTCAAAGGCACTTTTGACCCCAAACTATTTCGGAAAAAACACTGGTTATTTTAAACTATTTATTGGAGTAATGTAGCTTTTTAAGTGTCAAAATTATAATGTTACCCTTGGACTAGTAAATATTAACATTGATCATTAACTTCAGATTGACTTTGGGTTAAAAAGCATTTTTATCTCTAAGAAGAGTAACTGACACCCTAAAATTCAATAATATAGAGCAATTAACACTTCCTTTTACCAAAATGTGTCACATCAAGTTTAAGGTGTTACATGACTTGTTAATTAGGTATTCATTAGTAACACAGATCTACCAGTTTATACTAATGATCAACTATTGGTATTGTCCTAAGTTACATTTGTCTATTCTATCAGGCTATATATGTTGTTGTTTGTAAAAGCAAGGTCAATCAGTCCGATAGCTAGGCATGATAGACAAATATATAATATGTGACAATTCGTTGACGTTGAACCAATAAACTTTTCTCTTTGTTGACAAATCCTTAGCTGGCAAGCTAAATGATTTTCAGTTTTTTCTTCTATTTTTTTCAACTAGAACATGTGCATTATGTTTTGACATTCATCATTAGAATAGGTTAAGAGATCTTTTTTTTCCCCCAACCGATGAGTGCTTAATTAAACAAGATAGACATATATAACTTGTGACAATACCAGTAGTTGATAGTTAATATGGGATGATAAACCTTTTTCTTTTTACTGAATTCTTGGTTGGTAAGCCAAATGACATCAATTTCTTGCTCTAATCTTTTTTAACCAGTTTCAATTTTCAAATGTTATTCTAATTGCAGTAATTACCTGAAGGCATGTTGTTCAATCATTCACATCATTTGTTTCAATTCGATTTAGGACGCTATACAGATTGATTATGGGACAACTAACCAAACTATTAAAGAGTTTAAAACACTTGGAAGTTTAATCCACGAGGTGGAAATTAGTTGTAGGCCAAATCTTAACCTAATCTTTAAAGCTTGCTGGGGGAGCATGATATCACCTGTTTATGTTTTGGAGTTTAGGCCAAGAATATTGGAGAAGGGAGGGGAAGTGGATTTTCAATTTAGACATTTATTATTTTATATTTTCATTAGCCAGTGACATTGATTTTTATTTAAATAAACATTTCCATTTCTTTCTTTTTAAGCCATTATTTTCAATTTAAATATGTTGTAAAAAAAAAAATAGATTTCAGTCCGGCTGAATCACAGAGAATATGAGAATTGACTTTTCTCTTTAGTTCCTTCCTCCTCTTTTCTCCTCAATCTAAGCATACCCTTGGCCAATAGGATTGCTGCCTAGGAAAATCATAAATTCTATTTCTAAGGCACCAAGGAAAATCATAAACCCTATTTTTAAAATGCATTAACCAATTTTGACTTGGATATTTTACAGTTTAATCTGACTGATGGCACAGTTCATAGGATATTCAGGCTGTCCACTGGTTTTGCAAATCCGATTTAACTTCATTCAAGTTACTAGTTTAAAAGAAAGAGGAGAAGATGTAGGGGACATCACCTTACTGTCTATAACCTTATATTTTGCTACCAATGTCGCTATGGAAGGCTGCAGTAGGGAATTTGGATCGGAATGAACTGTTGTTATTAGTGGACTATTTTGATTTAGCATATCAGAAGCTTGGATTGGACTTTGGCTCTTTAACTAAATTGAAGGGAAAGTACACTGTACTTTAATTATATACCCTTTTTACAATTTAGTATTTGTGATTTATCCTAATTGCAACTTCAGTAGAGGAAGTGCAAAACCATTCAAAACACCACGTGCACTTGAAACTCTTAGGCTGGGATCAATTGAAGGCACAAACATTGAAGAACAGCCCAACATAACTTATAGTACTGCACAAATTTCAGAAACCAAACTGTAATTAACCTTAGAATATTGGAATAAAATTTATGTGAAACTACAATCAAACTCATTTAATCAACAAAATTAATAGTTCATTTCTTGGAGGTGGAGGAATCGAGTTGGAGGAAGGAGGGTAGAGCAAGGCAAATTTTGGCAGAAATTGACCAAAACGTTGCTGTGCAAGAGATGACCATCAGTGGAAGTGTTTTTTATGAGTAGAATTTTAGTACAAGGCTACCCAATATGAAATATGGAATTGATGGTGACCAAAATATGGATACTGATGATGCTGTGGTTGAGGTGTCGGAGATGGTTGATTTGGAGATTAACTAATCTTGTTTTATGTTTGATATGTTGATGGAAAAAAATTTAATAGTGTGGAATTGTAGAGTTGCAGGTAATAAGAGTGTGGAGAGGATTCTGAGAATGGCAGTGAATGAGAATAAAGTGTCTCTTGTTGCTTTGATTGAGACCAGGGTGAATAGTTCAAAGGCAGCTGTGCTATTCAGAAATCTCGTTATCATAGGAGGAAGGGGATTTGCAAGAGGGGTTTGGGCGGCATGGAAGTCACAAGTGGTGAAGGTTGAATTGGTAGAAGAAAATTTCCAGTTGGGCATATTATGGTTTCTTTTTAGAGAGAGAAACCATGCGTGCTTCTTGTTGCATATGTCTCTCCAAGAGAGGATCATAATAGATTGTTTTGGGATGATATGGCTAGATTGGATTAGGACAAGAAAAGAATGGTTGGTAGCTGGAGATTTTAATGATTTCAGAAAGGTGGAGAAAATTGGTGGTGTACCTGTTCATTTGGATAGGTGCATCAAGTTCCGGGAAGGAATTGATGCTTGCAGATTATTAGAAGTTCATAGTTTTGGTTAGAGATTTACTTGGAGAGGACCTCTGGTTCCAGGCTATGCAAGAGTTTTTGAAAAATTTGATCGTGGGCTGTGTAATGAAGCTTGGAGATGTAGATTTGAAGATGCAAGTATTAAGATAGCTACAAGGTTTGGTTGCTCTGACCACAATCCTTTAATAGTGAAGCTGATTGAAGTTAGACAAGCTGGTATGAGACATTTCAGATTTGAAGCTGTATGGACAATACATGATGGGTTTGAGGATTTTACGAAGAAAAGTTGGGAAGGAAACGCTGATGTTTGTGAGAAACTGGCTTCCTTGCAAGGAGATTTGAATAGATGGAATAAGGAAGTGTATATAGAGAAGAGGAAGAGAAGAATTTTGGCAAGATTGGTTGTAGTTCAGAGGAAAACTATGTCATTAAGAAGACCTTTTCCAGACTTGTTCAAACTGGAAAAGCGTTTGAAAGATGAATTGGATGCCAGGCTGTATCAAGAAGAGGTTCTGTGGTTTCAAAAGTTAAAAAATCAGTGGATTAGGGATGGGATCGGAATACTAGGTATTATCACCGTAAGATGATAAAAAGGAGGAATAGGGTGCAGATGTTGAGAAGAGAAGGTGGTTCTTGGGACGAGAACCAAGAGGAATGGAAGAGGATGCCTTTGAAATTTTATTAGAATCTGTTTAAAGAAGAGATGCAACAGAGAGCAGGGTGTGACTGGTACTGTGTTTAAGCAAATTACAGAAGATAAGGCTTTAGAACTGGAGAGAGATAAGGCTTTAGAACTGGAGAGGGGTGAGTAGCGATTAAGTTAAAAGAGCAATGTTTATTATTCATGCTTTAAAAGCTCTAGGAAGTGATGGTGTTTCTGCACTCTTCTTTTGGAAATTTTGGGGGACTGTTCCATTGTCCCCTTATTTATTTGTACCAATAAGAGAGAGATTTAGCCATGTTATTAATGATGCTAGGAGCAAGGGTTACTGGAAAGCCTTTAAATTTGAAAGAAATGGTGCTGAGGTTACCCACTCAATGTTTGCTGATGACATTTTATTGTTTGGTGAGGCTTCTGTGGCTTAAATGAAGTGCATGTTAAAGGGTCTTGAACAGTTTTGCGATCTCACTGGGTAGAAAGTGAGTGCAGAAAAGTTATCAATTTATTTTCAAGTTATGTAGGGAGAAGCACTAGAGGGGAGCTGGTTCAGTTTATTTGGTTTTACGGAAGTTGAAGACATGGGGAGGTATTTAGGACTCCCTTCATCTAATAACAGATCCTAGAGGAGTTATGAATATATTTTGGAGAGAGTTAAGAAGAGATTGTCTGGTTGGAAAGCAAATTGCTTTTCCATGGCAAGTAGAGTGACTCTTACTAAGTCAGTTTTGTGTTTGCAGCCCATTTGCCTTATGATGGTCACTAAGCTACCAGTGGCAATCTGTGAAAAGCTGGAAAGGATGCAATGATCCTTCATTTTGGGACCTGGCGTAGAAGAAAGGAAGATGCACTTGGTAGGATGGAAGGGGATTCAAAAGCCAAAAGAGTATGGTAGATCGGGAGTGTGAATATGCAGGCCATGAATGAGGCTTGTTTAATGAAACTTGCTTGGAAATTGAGATCTGGAAGCAGTGATTTGTTGGCTAATATCTTGAAATATAGATATAATGGTAATAAGGAATTCTTTGGCGAGGTAGTTGTGAGTAGGTATGATTCTGCTTTATGGAAAGATTTAGCTTCTCTTTGGAAGCATTTCAAAGTTAGTTGACGGAAGGAGGTTTGGAATGGAAAGGGAACTTTGTTCTGGAATGATTGTTGGCTGCATTAGAATTTTAAACTCGGTGAGGCAATTATTACTCTGATTCCAGCAGAGTCATATGCTTGGCGTGTGCTGATGTAATTGATGAGGGTAGTGATTGGAAGTGGACTATGTTTGAGCATTTTATCTCCAATGAAGGGAGACACAGAAGTGGTTCAGCTTTAAAGCCTGGTCAGGAGGAGGGTATGGACGGATTCTGTTGGAAAGGGGGCCAGCAAGGTGAATTCACTGTCAAGTGTGGCTACAAGTTATTTATAGAGAGCTATTGGGGCCAAAAGTATGGTTTCTGGAATTTTATTTCCAACTGGCCTGCAATTGGGAGGATTATATTTATTTATTATTTTTTTTTATGGTTGGTGGCTAAGGGCAGAATGCTCACTTGTGAGATGAGGTTTAGAAGGTGGGAAGCTTCGCTTGCTTGTGAGTTGTGGGCAAGTAGGGAATGTGTTACATGTTCTGCGAGACTTCGGTAGAGATAAAGATCTATGGATGTTGTAAGTAGTGGGTTATATAAAGCAACAACTTTTTGTGCTTGAACTGAATGACTGAGTGAGGCTTAATTTGTGCAGAAGATGTGAAGGGGGAGGGTTGATTTTGAATGGAAGGTTCTGTGGAAAGAAAGAAATAGGTGTACGTTTGTTAGTGAAGCTAAAGAGAGGGAGATTTTAGAGCCAAAACATTGCATTGTTGGTTTTTAGTATGAATATGATAGAAGCTAAGAAAGAGGCAGTTGAAGACGTATGGAGCAAGAAGATTGTGGGGTTGGTCAGGTGGATGCCGCCAGAGGACGGATGGTTAAACTTAGTTCTGATGGAGTGAGTAGGAATGGGATCCATAAGGCTGGTTGTTGGAGTGTGATTAGGGATTGCAATGAAGATTGGATACTTGGTTATGTAAAGAAAATCAACCCTTGTACTGCTATGGAATATGAATATTGGGGTGTTCTAATTGGGCTGGAGCAGTGTTGGAGACTGGGATTTAGAAAAGTGGAAGTGGAAGTGGATTCTTTGGTGGTTGGGAAGTTAGGAGTGGGTTATCATGATTCCCAACCCCATAAAACTAATTACCTCTCTCCCTTGTGAATGTGGTTCACCTATAATTTTTTATAATTTTATTTTTACTTTTATTTTTTCAATCCATTTCCAATCCTTTCTAGTAATTAAATGGGACTTTAGCACTTGATCTAGCAAAAGAACAAGATTAAATAGAAAAATTTTAGACATATGGTCTTTTTAATTAACGTCGTGTTTTGAAAGTTTGATTATATGGAAATAAAGAATCATCAATTGCCTCTTTCCTGCATGGTGTGGTCAAAATTTCTGACTGAGAATTGCTTTCTCCAGGTACAGTCATTTCAAAAAGATTGCAATGGAAAGAGAACTGATCTGAGGATTGTTCACAGCGGAACTCGAGAGTTTAAGATTGCCAGTGACCTTAGGAATATGTTCATGGAATTTTCTGCTCATCAACAGCAACTCCACCGGCGGCTCGCACTTGAGGAGGAAATGGTACATTTGGACTGTAACCTTTGATTCACTTGCTGCAATCTGCCTACACAGTAAATACCAGGGCTTAGGAATGGATTCCTCATGCATAGTGTTCACTTTTTGACTTTTCTAGCTAGTATGTGAATGTTTACACTGTAATATCACTATGCTGTTAGGGATGGACTATAGCATTACAGCATTACACCGTTTTGTGCACATGAGAGTTTTTGAGGAAGGTTAGATAGTAAGAGGAAAGTGAAACATGACACTTACATGCATTTTCACTTGTTTGTATCACTTTCTTTTATAAATCTGTAATATATTATTAAGATCATGGTTGGTGTGCATGTTACTGAGAATGTCGATGCATCATGCAGCCATTGGTAACATTATGACAACTGATGCTGAAACAAGCCTATTATGTTGGAAGTAGGAGGATTTTCCTTCACTAGTTGAAATCTCGACCCTCATTTTCTCCACTTGAATTTTTGTCCAATGCAAATCATTCAGCACGCTCATTTCAGATTCTCTAAATATAGATAGATAACTGTTCACCCCACACGCGCACACATTTTGGCCAATTTCACCAAATATATGTGTGTGCCCGCACGTATGTGCATGTTGATTGATAAGTAGCATATCTCATACAAAAGCTAAACAGAATCATCAACCATTAAGAGGTGCGCAAGATTAATTTCTCTTTTAGCATAATGAATAATTTTGCGCCATTACAATGTAGACATTGTCTACAATACATGTGTTGTGCTTCCTATTAAACTTTCTTTTTTTTTTAGTTGGAGTAAAGTGGGGATATATATATATATAGATATTTGTAATAAGTGAATATATTTTCTATGAATTGTGGATGGAAAAAAGAAAGGCAGGCCCCCTTAAAATTTTAATTTAACTTATTATTTCACAAATACATACTTATTAATTCGCTAACAAATTATTAACAATATATTCTATATATTTAATCTTGTTGACTTGTGATATAAAATAGATATATTAAAATTCTATAATAACTTGTCATTTGAGTACCGTTTACTTGTGAATTTGCTAGGAGAATTTATTAACCATAGTTTTTACATATTCAATTTTGTTGACTTGTTATAATATGAAATGGATTTGTTAACACTAATAACATAATTTGTCATTTTAGTAATGAATGCTTGTAAATTCATTAAAAAGAAGTGTTAGCAATACTTCCTACATATTTAATGAGATTTTTGTACATATAACCTATATCATAAGATCAAATAAAAAAATAGTTTATCCTTTTTAAAATTTTAAAAATGACCTTTTTAATATTTAATTAATATATAATTTACAAAACTACCTTTTTAAAATTATAACACAATGTTTTTTGCAAATAATAGAACAAACTCAAATTTAGATTGTAGTAATAGGATTAAGAAGAGGGAATATTGTAGATGCATTAATTGTGTAATTCAATTTATATATAAAATTAAAATTCATTAGCAAAAGCCATGATCGTCAAAGTTAATGGCCGGAGGGATGACGAAATGCCAAAGTCTCCCAACCTCACTAACCTTATATTTCAAACACAAAAACTCTCTAGCATACATTCTCTCCACCTTCCTATCCACGTCATGCACAAACACGTGCGTCACCCCCAACTTCTTCCTCCCACGTGCCATCACTGCCGCCGAGTATATCACCGCCATCCTCCCCGGCAACGACGCCTCATACCCTCTCGGCCCATCGATCAATATAATGTCCCAATCCTTCCCATACACCTCTGCCGGCATGCTATTCAAAGCCAACTTGCACCCTTCATTCCCTTTTAGTCTTATTGTAACATTAGCACCCCAACAATCCTCCTTGTAAGAGCCAAGGAGAGTGTCGGCCTCCGATAGATACGTCCGATAGCGCATCATTCGAACATCAAGAACCGGGAACCGACGTATAATAGATCGAGCCCACTTGGGATCTTCCTCAAGGAAAAGAGTGGTGCCACGATGGTTAAATGAGTTCCACATCAGAGAGTCATGGCCGGAGCCAAATACAAGGAAGTTGCAAGGAGCGATGGAGAGTAAGATGTCGTAAGGACCTCGAGCTTCGGCTAGAGAGAGCTGGGGAGTCACCGGAGAGGTAACATAGTGGAGGATGGCGACGAGGGGGCTCGGCGTTTTTTCAAACTCCGCCGCGATTATGGCGTTGGCTTTCGTGAAGGGCATGTCGGAGGAGTCATAGCATAATAAGGAAGGATTGGAGGATGATCTTGAAAAGTAGAGAATGAGGAAAGTGATGGAGATGACACCGATTACTAGGAGGGTGATTAATCTAGGCTTACTGAGAGTGGAAATGGGATGGTATCTCTTTCTCGAGTCCTTTCGGATATATTGCATGTTGCATGAGAGCAGTGAAAACAAATTTGAGAGAGTGAAAATGAATAGAGGAGTGAATGATACATGAAAATGAAGATAAAGAAAGAGCGATCTTGAACATGTAGATTTAATCTAAACGTGGCACTTAATGGCTCGTTAAGTTGACTTTTATAGCTTCTAAAATTAGTACTCATTGGACTTTGTCTACGTTATTCCCTCCCAAATTAAAAGCTAGCTTCTCCTCTATATGTGTCAAATTATATATATATATATATATATATATATATATCAACTTAATTATTTGATTTATGATAAATTAAAATGAACATCTGACAACTCAAAGGTGAGTCAATTTTGAAGAATGCTTCTGGGGTCACTTGAAAAACAAAGAGGAAAATTTAGTAGGAGCACTATGTGTTTGACATTTTGAAACTATACATAGATTAATACCTTTAAAATTGTACAAGGATTAAACTACAAATTGGGTGTATATATACCGTATTAATTTTTTAAATTTACTTTCCCCTTCCTCTCAGCAACATCGATTATGTATAGTATTAATATTTGAACCCTGGACAATGGAGATAATAGTCTAAACAATAAAGGTCATATTTAAAAAATAGAAATTAACTTCGCGGATTAGGTTAGGAGCGAGGGGAAAAAATATAGGATTAATATTAAAATACACTAAAAGTATAAGGACCAACATTCATTTCTTTTATATTTTATAATAATGTTAATTAAATTATATAAAATTCAATTTATATTGAATTCAAAAGTAGAATGAATTGAATAATATCATAGAAAATTAAATGTCATTAAGTAAAAATGAAAAAAAAATGATAACGCCATTTGCTAGTACTTTGGATGGTTACTTGTCATAACTTTATAAAACCACTTTTAAATTTTAAACAACATTATTGTTTTTATATATAGTTATCAGAGAAGATGGTTTTTTATCTAACATGATGTAATATGGCTGAAATATTATTATTTTACCACAATATTTAATTTTATTCATCATATAACCGGCATTGCATAGGCAGAATGTTAATTAATTATAAAGTTTTGATCGATAGAGGAGTAGGAGAGCTCAGTTTCTCTCTGAGTTTATTTTCCTTGTTCTTGCTTTTGCTTTTGTCTGTGTCTTCTTTTCTAGTCATTTGCTGTTTTTTGTAGTTTTCTTTTTCTAGTTTTCTCGTATTGGTTTCTTGTATTTTGTTTTCTAGGTGGTTTTTTAAGATGTTTTTTCCTTGTCTTGTGTCTTTTCATATTCTTTTTCTGTCCGCATCATTTTCTTATTTTCAAAGTTCTCAATGGAAAACATTTACATGATTTAGAGCTTCAATCTCTTCTTTTCTTTCATTGGCATCTTCGTGGTTCATTTCACCTTGTTCAGCATGTTGATGCTTACTTTGTTATTTACTTTCAAGTTGAATCTGATTTGCAGTTTGTCCTCAATCAGGGTTTATTACTTGTAACACTTGCCCCGAGTGTTATCCAAAAATCACACAATTCAAATAAACTAAGTGTGGTTAAGGAGTTAATCCTAAAACCAACTTAGGAAACAAACCATTTAAATCACTAAGCAAATATACGATTGCAAAGTAAACATTTAAAACCTTAAAAAAAATTATAGGTTCTAACTATAGTGCACGGAAGTAAGTTAGATGAAAGAGAAATAAAAAGACAGCATTTAAATTACTGTCATGACAACCCTCCCGAGTCAACTTCTGGGAGGCGTCGTTCCGTCATCCGACCTCCGATCAAAGTGATTTTAAAGCTCACACGTCACATTCAAAGGGTACTATAAGTATATCAAATTTCAAAAAGATCCAACGGTCGGATTTAAAATTAGACATGTTAAAAATTTGATTATTTTTGCTGTCATGACAGCTAAAAAGCTGTCATGACAGCACTTCCGGACCAACTTTCGGAGTGCACCATTTCATCATCTGACCTCCGATCGGAGTGATTCCAAAGCCCACATGTCACTTTTAAAGAATACTATTAGCATACTAAATTTTGAAAAGATCCAACGGACGGATTGAATTTTGTGCAGGTTATAAAATCAATACTGTAGCTGTCATGACAGCAATTTAATGCTGTCATGACAGCACCTCCAGACCAAATTCCGGAGTGCGTCGTTTCTCCGTCCGATATCCGATCGACGTGGTTCCAAAGCTCACACGAAGCTTATAAAAGGTTTTACTTGTGACCCAAATTTTAGAGAAATCCAACGGTCGGATTAAGATTTGGACACCCGGATGCAAAAGTGCAGCTTTTTGGTAAAAACCATTTTCAAAATTGTCCAAATCCCATCCTAATGGTCACAAACCTGTGGAAACACTTTGGACACGTCAAATAAGATTAAAAACACCTGATAGAACATTCAAATGATGGAAAATCCCATACATTAAAATTTGACCACCCGGGTGCCATTTCCCAAAATGGACCCTAAACCCCCAAAATGCACAAATCATACAAGAGTGGTCACAAATCAATCCAAATACCATGTATTTATATAAATACATATGCTAAACATTTTCACTTGCTCAGAGCTCCTTGTGGGGCCCACGCACCCACTCTCTCTATCCAAGCTGTATGTTTTCCCATAGCACACCATTTGCAATGCAACCACTTTGCATTTGCTTATAAAATCACATATATATCAAAATAAAGATCTGCTTGTAATAGAAACTTGGTCTACTAAGTAAATCCATCAAAACCACACACTATAACCAAGTTTCCTAGCCATAAGTCTGCAAACAGACAAAAATTCATACACAAGCACACAATCCACACATATTCACACACACACACACATAATCATATCCTACTGGCACCCTAATCTTAAATACATTACAATATATTTGCTCAAAAGAAAGGGGTTGCAGTTCTTTACAAATCACAAGCAAACCCCTAGCTTTGCTCCTTTCCCCGTCCACCACTGGATCCTTCGCCTGGACCTAGAATATTGAAAAGAAAGGGGTGAGACAACCACAGTCTCAGTAACAGCAAAATTTACATTGATTATTACAAAGTAAGCCATAATCAAATAAACGAATAATAAATTCAACATAGTATATAATTTAGCCATTTAAAATGCATGAATGCATGACCTAGGCCGGTATAGCCTTTCATGACCAACAGAATGCCCCCTGGCACTCTTTAACTCGCAGGTAAACCTTATACCTACTTGTACCTCCACAGGCACAAAACATAATCTAAGGCATGATCTAATCCACCGAACCGCCTATGCCCCTTCGACGTGAATCCTGAGCAGTCAAAGCTAACTCCCTCCCAGAGCCAGCCCAACTTACTCTCCATGTGAGGGCTACCTTGGCCTAGGCACTCAACCTCACACTTCATATGTCAGATTCCCTCCCCCACTGAGAGGTGTCGAACACTCAATACACTAACCACTTTAGTGCACTGAGCCCACAATACGTAAGACAACACTGAGTACTGACAGTGTGCCATAGAATATCAAAAATTCACACCTTCTCATTGGTGAACTCCCACCGAGATCATGCCTTTTACTCTTGTCTACCTTTCCTGAGTATTGACCATTCAACACTCTAAAGTAGTATAATATTTATAAATCTCATTTCCATAAAAACATTGTTATTAAACAATTAGAAAACATATTTGCACTATAATCAAAGTAGTATCCCATAACCCCTTATAAAGCACATTTAATCTTTTAAAACATGTAATGCATGATAACTAGTAATATTTATTCAAAAATAGCTAAAACAAAGTAATAAGAAATATAAATTCCCCTGTTACCTCAACCCTTTGGTACTAAAAGGGTTCCCCTTGTACAAAATAGGGCTCGGCTTGTTCCTTACTTCTCAATAAGTTCCACCAACAATTTTCTACAACATATAAGTGATCCACATCACTTATCATGACAAATAGCATTAATGAAGACTATAACTTATACCACACAACTTAGGTCAATGAGTCATAATCCACCCTAATGGTCCATATATTAATCCAACCATTCACATAGTATCACTTAACCACCAAAACCATTTATTAGCCATCACTAGGCTAATTTTCAATTTATATAATTTTTTAATCAATTAAAAACCTTTACTTAGTGCCACCAACTTTCACCATTAGCCCTTATAATGAAAACCAAACCTTAATTTAAATCTTATTGGGCTCAAATAGCAAAATTATAACTAAATCAATAGGCTTAAACCATTGAGGAGCAAAAACCCAATTTCTCAAGGTTTATTTTGTGCCCAAAACACCTCTTTTCATCCAATTATCCACTCAAAATATTAGATCACTATATAGAAACTCAAAACATGCTCCCTAGAATCCAAAGAAACAAAAGCTTACAAGAATAAAGCCTTTGGATCAAAATCAAAAATTTCCTCTTCCAAAAATTGAAGAAAATCAAGAGAAAGAGAAGAGGATTGAAGTAGGGAGTTTACCTATCGTGTAGCCGAGCTCGCAACGGTCGCAAAGACTCCTAGATCCGAGCCTAACTCCCTCTCTTTCTCCTTTCTTCTTCCTCTCTCTCTCTCTCTCACTCTCCCGTTTGTGCGTTTCCTTCCCTTGTTCATTTTCTGCGTTTTCTGCATCTGTTTGCTCTTTAAAATGCTGGTCAAAAAGTTTGGGAAAAATTACAAGAAAGGGCCCAACATTTTTTATTATTGCACAAAAGCCCGGGTCAACTTTGGTAATTTTTTCCATAGTTAAAAATCAAATAAAACCAAACTTTTGCTTAGTAAAATTTAAACTCTGGGCCTCTATTAAATTATTCTAAATTTTAATTTAATTATAGATATTTTATTTTATTTTTATTTATTTTTTTTAAATAAATTTGAGTCTTAAAATTTTTAGGATGTTACATTACTTCTTTAGTAATTAAAAAATTTGCAGATAGAAATTGTAATTATGTGGAAGAATCTCATCTAGGGCTCTCAAGGAAGAAAAAATTGCATTTAGAACTCAATGCATTATAAAATTATTCTACAGGTTCAAGAGTTTTTTTTTTGCAATTGAGTTTTGGAGAGAAAAGACACAATTTCCCTTAGTGAGAAAGAAAAAACTTTAGGTTCACTATTATTGAACAATTACTTATTATATGTGAACCTAAAATTGAGAATTTATAAATATATAGTTGTAAAAATCTGAACTTATTGTTATGATAAAAGAATTTCATTATCAATGAATAATTATTATTGATATGTGAACATAAAGTTGTGAATTAGTGAACATGTAGTTGAAAAATATAAACTTGCTATCATGATGAACTTTAATTTTAAATATATAAATCATAAATTCTAAATTTTGACTTGTGAATAGATGAACATGTACTTATAAATATTTGCACTTTAAGTTATATATTTATTAAGTTGGCTAAGATAAACATGTTAACTTTAGATAAGAATTTTATTTTCAATAAATAATTACTTGTTAATATGAGCCTAGAGTTATGAATTCGTAAACATGTAATTATAAAAATTTAAACTTGTACTTGTTGCCTTTTCTCATTAAGAGCAATTGTATCTTTTATTTTTAAAACATGTTTGCAAAAGGATCATTGGACCTATAGAATAGTTTTATAATGTATTGGGCCCTAATTGCAATTTTTTCTCCCTTAAGGACCTTAAATGAGATTCTCCCTAATTATTTCTCCCATTTTAGTCATTTATAGAAATAAAAGCAGTTATTACTTAAACCAAACTAGTTACTACTATTTACAATAGTTGAATTTCAATGATCAAAATATTTGTAGAGAAAAACTTATTATTTATTATCCATTTTGAGAAGAAAAATAGTATTTAAATAAAAGTAGTAACTAATATTTACAACATTTAAACTTTAGTGATTAAAAAATTTATAAAGAGGAAGTTGTAATATAATTAACTATCTCATTTTAATCATTGCCAAAAAAAATAATTATTACTTAACTCAAAGTAGTCATTGCTATTTAAAACACTTAGACTCCAATAATTAAAAACAATTACTTGTCATTTACTATTTTATTTTAGTTATAAAAAATGATCATTATTTAAACCAAAATAGTTACTAATATTTATAATATTTAAATCATTTCAATTATTTCATAAAAGATATCAATGTCGCAAAGGTACCAAAAAACTTTAAAAAAACTACAATATTTTGTAAAATTTCATTGTTATTTTCATATTAGAGGAGGATTTTTCTATCATTTTTTCTCCACTTACCTCATGATGAAATTGCTAATATGCACTGGTATCATTGTTTACAAGCCCAATTGCAGGCCCAAAAAATTACCCAACCAAACCACATGACTACATAATTGCATGTAGGTTAGTCACGCCTATCCTTCAAAGAAACACGCTCGTTCATACTCAAAGAATTATTTTACCTTTCAATTTATCATTTACCTGAAATTATCATGCTATGTCCTTAATCTCATTGTTTGTTAAGTGGAGCACCTATCTCATAAGTCAATTTCAAATATCATATTGCGTCAATTTAAAATTCCTGATAATTAATAAATAAAAGAAACCCATAATACATTCATACATACATACATACATACATACATATATATATATATATATATAAAGTCTTATCTTTTTATATTTACTCTTATTAAACATTCTAATAAATATAAAGTCATTATTAATAAAATATTTTTTTAAAAAAGAAATGATTACACTTCAAAAGATTAAAAATGTCTTATACTTTTTAATATTCAACTCTTTAAAAAATACTTTATATTTTTAAATGGAGGAAGTATATAAGAAGAATAAAGAAATGAAATTAATCTATGAGCGCGCGCGCGCGCATATTAGTTTTCGTAAAAAAAGTTGAGAAGATCCTAAGTCCTCCATACATGCATATCACTTCACCACTACTATATTCATTAATCTCTTTTCTTTCATTGTGAGATATAAATTCTACAAACCAAACTTTTGTCATAATTAATTTATGACTTAATGTTACCATCCACTTTCATTCGCTACAATGACTTCATTTTCATGTTGCACATGCTCAACCTCCATTACCTTAAAAAAGGTACCCATAATTAGCTACTTGTTCACAAATTTGTCAAACCACTAAAACGAATTAAATTAATGGCTTTTGAAGGGGTCACTAAAAAATTATTAAAGATATTAAAGTTAATATATCATGGCAATATTTATGTTTAAGAAATATGTTTGACCAACACAGTACACAGTACACTTGTTTCATTGATGCATAGTCACAATGAGAGTTGGACGATATAGATCTAATTTTATTGGTCCAAGTTTAATTTTTTTTATTTTTTAAATAATAAAACAATTTCTAAAATGATAGTTAAAAGGGTACTTTATTTTAAATTCTACATCTATTAAAATTAAAAGATGGAAAATATAAAATAAAATAATAATAAATCTGAATTATTTTATTTTAATTCGGACGATCCATGTTTTGGTGCTAATTCTTATGTCCAACCAATTCTAGAGATTAGAGCCTTGGGAGATTCTAAGATGAAGCATCAAGTTAATTAAAGCTCAAAAGCCATCGCCAGTATTGTTTATTCTCAGTGCTGCCAAGAATCCAATCTATAATATCATCATCCAATGAAATAACATACTTTTTAATTTTAGATATTATTAATATTTTAATATGAAGTGTGATTATATATATTCTTTTGGTTTAAGCCAAAAATAAGGGAACAATCTTTGAGATTGCAGATCAAGCGTTATCTCCGGTTTATAAAACCATGTAAAGTGATTCATAAAAATATTATTTAAATATAGTATCACTTAAAAAGAGATTCCTTGTTTTGTTTAACAAAAAAAAAAAAATACTACTTATAGTATCATACTCCTTCTATTCTTATTTGTAAAAAAACTATTACTTTTTATTTATTTTTTATATAAGTAAAATCACCTATTTCAATGATTTATTACATATTTTTTAAATTACTCTTTATAATTTACATTAATAAAAAATAATTAATGTATGCTTATATTGATTAATATAGAATATTTTAATTTTATTTTTTTATTTTTAAATTTAATTATTATAGTTAATTAGTTTTTTTTTAGTGTAATATAGTTTTTTATGTATGTGAAAACGGAGCGAGTAAAAATTAACCAACAACTAATTATACGAGGTAGGAAAAGTGGACCCAACAAAAAAAAAAAAAAAATACTTGTAATGAGGAAAAGACAAAAGTGCCGTGTCATATTTGAGCATTTATTCCTCAATTCCTCGACAGGGAATGATCTGATCAGATCACTGAACGTAGAATTAATGTATGCAATTAATAATCAGATGTAAATATGGGTGCAATATTTGATTGGGTCAACGCATGTAATAAGGACTGAATCTTCATTTATTAGCAAGTTTAAATTTTCAATTGTTCATGTTTATCAACGTGAGATCCTTCGTTTGATGTCTCATTTTATTATATTCTTAATGGGTAAGATTCATATACTTAACTTTATATATTTAATATATTTATATTAAATTAAATTATGATACGTGGTTCTTAATGCATTAATTTAATTAATAAAAATAATTTATTATAAAAAATAATCTATAAAAAATTTGCATATTTTAATTTAATTAGATACAAGCACATTAAGTATGTAAGTCTAAATATATAAGCTTTTTTTATTTTTAATTTAGTCCCTTGTCTTAGAACAAATATGTCCATATTAAATCACCCTTTCAATCATTTATTGATTAATTAATATATAATAAATAGAATGAATGTATATAATCCATCAACTTTTAAAAGGTTTATCTACGAGCATCATTTGTATTGTGAAATATTAGCTGTTTTAATAACAGTATCATCTTCAAGTTTGAACTTGACATTGTTATGATTATAAAATTTAATAAATTTTAATTTTATCTCTATTAAATATATGTCATTTAATAATATACTTTTTTCACTATCATTTGATGGAGTGTAAAGAAGAAAATTATAATAAAAAATTAATAATCTGATTTGTAAATAAAATATGAAAAATATTTGGGACAAAGAACACAACATCGGCAATTATGCATTTACTATGCTGAGGTCAATGGCATGATCTTCAAGTTTGTGAACCATCAGATAGTGTTGCTACTTGCTGGGATTTGCTATGGGTACCTAATCACTTCCTTAGATTAATAAAACTTATAATAAATTAAACTATATGTTCATAATTTTTTTTAAAAAAATACCAGGCTTGGTCCTATACATAAGACCCTCTGAAAATATAAAGTTGTCCGATTTGTAAGATTAACAAATCATTTTTTTTATTCATAGAATTCTAAGTTCTAACAACAATCTTGTGACACGAACCAAAGTTTTATTATATTTTCTCAAAGAATGAAGATAAATATGAGTATAATGGGAATACTTGTATGTTTTAGGATAAATAAATTAATGCACTAATAATTTTGTTAAATTTAGATAAAATGTCCGAAAAATTAATAAGGACACATGTGAGTAAAGTTTATTTTCTTAGTTGTAAATCATCTTATATTTAAAAAACCAACAATTTTAACTAATCTGTATTAAATTCGATCTTTTAGATAGAAATTTTACCATCAAATACTGCATTCTTAAGACTCAAATTTGAGAACTTTGGTTAAGCTGGTATATCTCCCTTACCATTGAATTTATTTATTTATTCTAAAGAAGCTTACCTATAAAATTAATTAAATTTTAAAAAAAATGGGGGGAAAAAAAGATAATGGAAGTTAAAAATAAAATAAGAGGAAAGTGGGGCCCGCTGAGTGGATGCATGTGGGAAGAGTGGCCCTTCTTTTCAGAAATCTGAACGTTACAAAGGAATGCCTCACTACGCGCCCAAACTTGTGCTTCCCTTCCCTCCTCCAACTGTTTGTTTTCTCTCACTTTCCTCACCGCCTATAGCCGGTCATCATTATTTATAAAAACTTTTTTAACTGTAAATTTAAATTTATAACAAAAAAATATAATTCTATTAAAAAATATAAAATATTTTTTGAGGAGTTAATATTAAAAATATAAAATATTTTAATCTTTAAGATGTAATCATTACTTTTTTAAAAAAATTCTCTTATTAATAAATGACTTTATATTTATTATAGGATGTTTAATAAGGATCAATATAAGAAGATAAGGTTAGTTTGAAAATAGATAACTATTTTATTGAGAGTAAAATTTAATTAAAAATATTTTATATTTTTGAACGGAAAGAATAACCAATTAATACATCCATAAAAGTTACATAAAAATTATATTTCATTTTTTTTGCAATCTACATACCCCCTTCATTTTTATATATATAAAAATAATTATATCACATAGTTTAATAAAATTACTTAACAACTGTAATTATGTTCTAAAAATAAAAAATAGACTAAAATATTTTTATATTGAATTAATCAAAGTAAGGTTGCATTAATTGCTTTTCATGAATGAAAATTATGAATTAACGAAGAGTAATTTAAGAAAAAATGTAATAACTATTTATTAATTAAGATATGTGATTTTTTTTATAAATAAAAAAATAAAGTTATAAAAAAATAATGAGAGGTTGTTTTCCTTATAAATGAAAATGGAATGAGTGATTTTTTTTTTGGAAGAAAGAAAAGAACAGGTGAGCCGGTAGTCCGTCATTGACAATGGCAATGAAATTTACAAAAACGGAAGTCATGTGGAAGGAGAACTGAAGAAGTATTGTATCCCTCTCCACTGTCACACAAACCAGTAAAACCACCAAAGCTCGCTCGCTCTCTCTCTCTCTCTCTCTCTCTCTCTCTCTATATATATATATATATATTATAATTAACCATAAAACTTCTGAGACTTTCTTTCAAACCCATCAACATGGCTCTTTGCCGCTTCTCTTCCTTCGCTCTGCTTTCATTTTTGCATATTGCCCTGCTTTCAGCTCTCTGCTTTGCTGGAGACCCATATGTTTTTAGTGAGCTTCATTTCTCCTATACCACCGTCTCTCCTCTCGGTGTTCCTCAACGGGTTCGCTCTTTTCTCTAATCTTGATGTTCTTCTGTAAACTTCTTGTACATCATTCTTCTCTTTTCTTGTGATTTATGATCAATAACGTTTGTTTAGATCCATTTCCAGAGCCTTTTTTCTTGGGTTTGGTGTTTTTCGTGTTTCTCGTTTTCCTTCCTGAAATGGCGTGTCGTTTATGCTGGGAAATTTGTCAATTACTTTATGGCACTACTGATTGGGTTTTATTTTGGTTTATTTCTTTCCTTTTCTTCTCTAATAAAGTGTTGTTTAATATTTCTTAAATGTTAAAGATCCGTATCAATTGAATGGTGGAATCCAGCCGTTATTCTTGCGTAAAATGCGTCCAAGGCTTTCACTGTACAATCCTGTTTCATTTCTTAAATTTGGATTTTCCGTTTTTCATGCGGTTCGTATTTTTGTTTTGTATTTTACCTAGTATTCAGTAAGCTAGTGCTTCTTAAGCATCGCTGAAACAGTCTAGACTGGTAAAGTAGTGGACGGCCAAATTTTCTCTTATGTTTGATACATGTAAAACTGAAATTGATTGTGGAATTTCAGTATGGTCACTGGGATTTCTTAAGTATTTTTAATCTCTTTTTCCGTTTATGTGTTGTTCTATTCTTGTCTCTTTTTTCTTATTTTGAACTTTTGATGCAATTCATCAATTGCAGGTGATTGCTATCAATGGGGAATTTCCTGGTCCTCTTATCAACGTGACTACAAATAACAATGTTGTTGTTAATGTATGGAATGAATTGGATGAAGATCTCCTCATTACTTGGTCGGTTCCATCTTCTCCCTTTGTTATTTCATGCTTTCACTTCCCAAGTTCCGTGATTATGATTTAACAAGATTCTCATGTGGTTGTGATAGGCCTGGTGTTCAAATGCGACGTAATTCATGGCAGGATGGTGTTATTGGCACAAACTGTCCAATTCCTTCCAAATGGAATTGGACATATCAGTTTCAAGTCAAAGATCAAATTGGGAGCTACTTCTACTTCCCTTCTCTTGGTTTCCAAAGAGCTTCTGGTGGCTTTGGCCCCTTTATGATCAACAACAGGAAAGACATTCCCATTCCTTTTGCACAACCAGATGGGGATATTGTCATTCTGATTGGTGACTGGTTTACACAGAACCACACAGTCAGTAACTCTCTTGTGTTTTTTTTTTTAATTAATGTCTTTGGATTATTCTGTATATATTGGTGATGGGGTTTTCTATGATTGGTTTCTTTTATACTTGCATCTTTTAAATTTAGGCCCTGCGAACAACACTGGATGCTGGAAAAAAACTTGGCATGCCAGATGGAGTTCTTATTAATGGGAAGGGGCCTTATCGTTACAACACCACTCTTGTACCAGGCGGTATTCAGTATGAAACTATTAATGTTGACCCAGGTATTATTTTGTTCTCCCTTTAATTTGCTAAACATGTTACGCTTCATCCACTACCCCCCCCCCCACCAAAAAAAAAAAAAATCTCACTTACCCCCCTCAAATTGTGGTGTTCCCACTTGGTAAAATGATGTTATCTTTGTAAATTTATGTTTTCAGTTGTTTTTTTCTTAAAAGAACTTTTTCAACTAATTTTCTTTCTCACTGTAAATTCTTATTTTCATTTGCAATGTCTAAATTATACCTTCTTTCTGATTGCTAGTGCTGCATTACAGTGCTAATGTAAAATTTGATTTTTGCTGATTCTTCTTTTACATGATGATTTTTTTTAAAAGAAAAGGAAAAAGGAAAAAATGTAATGTGATATCTTTGGAGATTTTCTTGGGTGTGCTTTCAATCTGGCATTCAACCCGGACGTTGTAACAACTTAAAAGTTGTTGTAAGGACTTAATTAAAGATGTTATATCATACTACTTGGCAATAACTGCATTCATGGCTTGTTGTTACTGAAATATTAAGCTATATACTTATAGTATATCCTTTAAAATTCTATCTAGCACCTTGCATGGTAACCATTTGGAGCCATTTGAATACTTATTGGGATTAAAAATTTATATGGCAGGCAAACTTATCGGATTCCGTGTTCATAATGTGGGATTTCAACTAGTTTGAACTTCAGAATTCAGAATCATAATCTACTCTTGGTAGAAACAGAGGGGTGTTACACAAGTCAATCAAATTACAGTCAATTTGATATTCATGTTGGGCAGTCATACTCTTTTCTGGTTTCCATGGACCAGAATGCAAGCACAGACTATTATATTGTTGCAAGTCCCAGGTTTGTTAATGAATCATTGTGGCAAAGGGTTACAGGAGTTGCAGTTTTACATTATTCCAATTCCAAGGGACCAGCAACTGGTCCTCTCCCTGATCCACCCAATGATTTTTATGACAAGGAGGCATCAATGAACCAAGCAAGAAGTGTCAGGTTTGTCACTTGGAATTTGGTGTAATTAAAATTTTCAGAACACGGTTACTTCCTTGAGTTATTATGCTGCATATGAAAACCACATATCTGTTGACTTGATGTTATTAAATCTCAATTTAACGCTCATACTTAAAATTTATTCAAAAATCAAACTATTGATGTGTTAGTGTTGGCCTATATGAATTGTGCTCTTGGGTTTACATTTGATATGATTTATTTGGTATAATTTGTTCTATGGCTGCAAGTAAATGACAAGGCAGCTAACGTTTCCATCTTGATGATTTTATGAACCTGTTTACTGCATGTACTAAGTTTCCTTTGTTGATTAGGCAAAATACATCTGCCAGTGGAGCTCGTCCCAATCCTCAAGGGTCCTTTCGGTATGGCTCCATCAATATAACTGATACTTACATGTTGAAGGTTCTGCCTCCAGTGCCTATCAATGGCCAAGTTCGAGCTGCCATTAATGGCATTTCATTTGTTAAACCTGAGATACCATTTCGGCTAGCTGACCACCACAAGTTGAGAGGAATTTACAAGCTCGATTTTCCCAGTAAGCCACTGAATAGAACTCCAGTGATGGACAGATCTTTAATCAATGCTACATATGGAGGGTTCATTGAGATTATATTGCACAACAATGACACCACAATACAGAGCTTTCACATGGATGGCTACTCCTTTTTCGTAGTGGGGTATGGGTCCTTTTCTTTTCCCTTGGTCGCTTATAAGGTATAATAGGGTCTGTGATCAGAGTTCAAAAATTTTATGACTCCAGGATGGGCTATGGTGAGTGGTCAGAAAATTCTAGAGGTACATATAATAAGTGGGATGGAATTATTCGCTGCACAATTCAGGTTTGTTTTCCTTTGAAAAATATATCACTTTGCTGGGACAAAAAAGCTTTACATTTATACATCCCATGGCCATATTGCTCTCGTGATATTGTCTTTTGCAAGCATCTAATATCTCGGGATTTTCTTTTGTTGATTCTGCACCTTTTTAGCTCAGCTTTGAAAAAACAGTTGAATGAATGTTCCCCAATGTCAAATGTTGAAATTTAACGAGCAATTGAGTTGATCTTCATTGTTTGCTCGTCACGGATGTCCTTTGGATTTGAACACTTCTCAGCTACTGAGAATAACCTTGACCTTGATTTTAACTGTAAAAGTAGATTGTTAATTGTTGACCTGACCATACGCTCATACTAGCTTGCGCTCCAAATAGCATGCTATGTATCTGAGAGGGTTAGTTTTTCTTAGTAAATTGCTGCTGTGTTGCCATGCAATAATCTTCAACCATTGATGGATTTGAGTTCTGTTATGTGTTGTGTTTGAAGTGTTCATGTTCCCAATGAATAGGTTTATCCTGAAGCATGGACAGCAATCCTTGTTTCTCTTGATAACACTGGAGCATGGAACCTGAGAGCAGAAAACCTGGACCGATGGTATCTTGGCCAAGAAACATACCTGAGGATTGTCAATCCTGAAGAAAATGGGGATACAGAAATGGCAGCACCAGATAATGTTCTGTACTGTGGACCCCTCAAGTCTCTTCAGAAGTATCCAATCTTTCCAACCCATCACTTGATTGATTAATTGTTTATTACCATGTTCTTTAACATAATCAAAACATGTGAAAAAAACACTGTTAAGAACTCTTTAATTTATCATCAAGTCTTTGTCTTTTTTGTGATTGGTTTGCGAATTTTAACTGCAGGCAGCAGGACCACTCTTCTGGAGTTCGTAGTTTTGGAGTAAACTTGAAGCATTACATGATGATGCTGCTGGCACTTTTTACTGCCATTTTCTTATCTAGCTAAGCTTCTCTGCTATGTCTGTGAGGTTTTGGATATCTGTAGGATAGTATGCCCAAAGGGTAATACTAATTTTAGGTGTAAAGATTGTTCTGAGTCAAGATTTTCTTTTGGTTGGCCCTCATCTTCTTAACTTAGTTGCTAATGGACTAAAGGATGAATTAATGATTTCATTTGGTTTGATAATTCTTTATTCATGTTCATGTTACAAACTCACATCTATTTTCATGTGGGCTTGGGCTTAAAAGCCCTTTTACCTCAAAATTGATCATCTATTTAAACTTGGTTTTTATCAATGAAATTCAAGGTTGAACTTGAAAGTCATTTCTATTTTTTCTTTACTTTTAAATGACGTTCGACATTTACAATATTGAATATTTATGCTCTAAAGTATAAATTAAAATATTCTAAGATCTAAAAATAAGTAATACAAATTTTAATTTTAAAGTACAAATACATATTTTAAAGTTTAAATTTAATTCAAAGATATAAAATATCTCAAGTTGTTGTGCTTATAGTAAATATGAGTTTAAATGGATAACCCAAGCTAAAGCCATTTTTTTTTAGGGTTTAAACAGGTTGAGAAATCCCTTTTATGCCGAACTATCTCAATTTTCTAAACTCGAGCCAGAAAAACAAAAGCTTAATCCGATAGCTTAATGGGCTTTGTCCGTATTCTCAGTTAGTTGGTTAATATATGGTTAATGAGTGTATCCTTTAGTAAATGAAGTTGGTTTTCTGTTTTTTCTTTTAAATTCTCTTCCTCTCTTAAATTTGGATAAAAAAAAAGGAATAAAACATAGGGGCTTTAGCAAATTTGGCCAACCTTACATGACTAAATAAAATTAATAACCCACCTTTTTATAAAGGGAGAATGACAATTAAGAACCTGCTTAGAACATTAATTCCAATTAAAGATCATGAAATTTTGAAATCCTAATTAAGGACTATGGTCCTTAATTGTGATTAAAAAAAAATGTAATTTGTGAAGTGGGATTCATTATTGTCACTTGGGAATTCGCTAACCCAACTTGAGAAAATTTGTAACGTATATTGTGAAAACATGAAACCCCACTTGAAAATGGAATGTTTAACAAAAAACGCCACTTGAGAATTCACTAATTAGACTTGAAAAAATTTCTAACGTATATTGTGAAAACATGAAACGTCACTTGGGAATCGGTTGTTTGATACAAAAACACCAATTTGGATAAGTCACTTTTTATTAATGATTCTCAAGTGGGGTTTCATTTTTTCACAATATACGTTAGAAATTTTTTCAAGTCTAGTTAGTGAATTCTCAAGTGGCGTTTTTTGTTAAACATTTCATTTCCAAGTGGAGTTTCATGTTTTCACAATATACTTTAGTAATTTTTTCAAGTTGGGTTAGTGAATTCCCAAGTCGCGTTAGTGAATCCCACCTCATAAATTACATTTTTTTTATCACAATTAAAGACCATGGTCCTTAACTTTGATTTCAAAATTTCACGGTCCGTAATTTGAATTAATGTTCTTAGCAGGTCCTTAATTGTCATTCTCCCTTTTATAAATTAAGTGGATGGCCTTTTCCTAATTTTCATCTGATGCAAAGACAAATTTAACCCAATGCCTTCGGTCAAAAAAAAACCCACAACCCTAATTCCCTTTTTCAAACCGAAGATCTGGACATTTGGCCCACACTTGCTTTCACTCACTTTACCCCACACGAAAGACGACGATACGCTCTCGGTCAGACGCCGAAGAACCTGACAGCAACCACCGAAAAAGCTCACACCGGACAATAAACTGACTTATACTTTTGGAAAAGAAGACCACACAAACGAGAGAAGAGGCAAACCGAAGTTCTACATATTCATTTACTAACAAAGACGAACGCGAGGCAGGCAGACTTGCTGCTACAGATTCAAGGTCAAAAATTACGAATGTGAGGTGAGGAAGTCCAGAACTGCATCTTCTACACAAAGTCACGCTAAACCTACAGATTGAGGGTAGGTTGCCGGCCATACTCTGTTACTGAAGGCAGAGTTCAAGTGAGGGTTTCAGGTCTTTTGTCAATGCCGCCAAAGAGGAAAAATCGTCCCACTTCACCAGGTTTTTTCTCTATATCACTGATATATTCTGTCAAATCAAACCGATCTAAGAAGCTAACTGGCCGGTTGTTGTGAGGTCTTTCTTGGGTCTTTGTCGATAAATCTGCTTACCGATCCCTGGTAAAAGAGAAAGATGTTGATAATAAAAAGGTGACCTGTCCTCTCCCTCCCGGTCCCTGGTAAAAGAGGAAAAAAAGAGAGTATATTCACTGATATGTTGAATATGATGTGGTGATCAATCGCGTGCAAGCATATTCATTATGCTCAGTGTCATGAAAAGAAATAGAGTCTGGAAATTTTGAGGGGATAATGCATGGTTCTAAAGCAATTAGTGTCAATGGAGCTCTGTATTGGATATGGTTATAAGATGGACAAAGAAAATTATGATAGTTATGATCCTACATTGATAGTTTCGTTTAATATGGAAATGATAGTGTTTACAGTAATACCAGTACCTGTTTCAAGATTTAATAACAATTATGAACTCTCTCTGTTTGATAACAAAGATGAGGATTTATTTGGTTTTGAAGTATGTCATCAAAACATGCGGTCTCTATATAATGGCATTTTTCCATCAGGCAGTGGCATTTTTCCTTTAAGTTAATTAAATTGAGCTAGTGGCATTTTTCCTCTAAGTTAAACCAGCCTACTTGTTTAACACCACTTGTGAGTTGGGCTAGGAATTTCTGGACCGATTTAATTATCAGGCAAAACTATCTTAACGCCTCAGTCCATAATGTTTGGATTGGGATAGCATGTTTGAATAGCTATAAGCTTAATATTATTAATATTATTGTGGATGGCTTTTGTTGCTCCTTATTATTTTGTTGCATGGTTGGGATAGTTATTTTCCTATTTAATTGAATTATGTTAAACCATTTGTTAAATAAGCTTACATAAGAGTTGGTAAGTTTCCTTTTTCTTTTTCTCATTTAAAGATATCTGTGTTAAGATTAAAAGAGTAGATAGAGCTTATGTTTCTTTAGTTATAATTTATAAAGTACATCTTCCTTGTGACATCCTGTTTCTTCTTTCTTTCAGTTGTTCTTTTTCATCTAATCAAATAATCCTCCTTACTACAATTCTGTTTAAGAAATATATATATCAATGATATACCATTAGCACACCAATGATATATGTACCTATATCAAAGACATACCATTGTGAAGTGTATTTTTTTCATTGCTTTTATATTTGATTCATCAATGCTAATACTTAAATATATATAACACTTTTCTAAAATATCAGGGGCAACAACTTCGAGGGCCGTTCGTAGGAAAGACAAGAGGCAATAGAGAATATAAGCCAAGACCAAAGAAGCACAAGATATTATCGTCCATAAGGATCTCTGGAATCCTCACCAGAGAATTTTGCATGGCAGCAAGATTGAAGTTGTTGAAATAATAAACCAAAAACTAAATGAGGAGCAGCTTGAAACATTCAAAAAAGGATGTCTAGGACACCTACTAGACATAAAAATGCGTGCTTTTCCAGGGCGATTAGTGCATTGGTTGGTTTGAAGCCAATGCCCTGGCAAAAGGGATGACAAGTTATACTTTTTGATTAGAGGAAAAGTGCTAACCTTTGGATTATTAAAGGAGTTTGCAATTGTTTCTACTGGCCTAAATTGTAATCCTTTACCTGCTATGGACTTTAGTAAAAAACCCATCCCAACCTTCATAGACAAATTCTTTCAAGTCAAGAACACGTTGCTTAAAAGAAAGGACGTCTTTTCTGTTTTTAGAGGCAACATCCCAAACAATGATGCGGATTTTGTCAAGTTAGCAAAACTTAATTTGTTTAGAGAACATGCTCTTGTCAAAGCAAGATCATAATGCCATTGATCACAAGTTTTTACAAATTGCTTGAAGATGATAACTTGTTTGAAAAATATCCATGGGAAGGGTGTGCTACAACATGACTGTGGAATCTTTTAAGGATGCAATTAATAAATTTGGTGTCAATTATTGGATTGGAGGTTCCCATATGCCATTGTTGCTTGGGCATATGAAATGATACGGCATTGAAAAAGCATAAATATGCTGAAAAAGTAGGAGACGCACTCCCAAGGATATTGAAATGGACAACGAATGATTATTATGAGTGGTCACAACTTGAAAAGAACATGATCAATGCAAAGAATGTAAGTATGTTCATAATTTTATGTTTACCTTATATTTAAGTGTGTTCAATGCAAAGAATGCAAAGAACGTGATCATGTTTACTTTTTGTAAATCATTTAATATTTAATAGTTTTTTGTAACTATATGTCAATCATATACAGATAGGTGCAATTGATATGCATTTTTGGGAAAATAAAAAATGTAGAGTTCACTATCTTGTATAACAGTGCTATATAATGGTATATCAGTGTTATATACGTGTATATCAGTAATATATGATTTTTTATATCTAATATATATTGAAAAATTGCTAGCTATTACTTGCATCTAATATTAATTAGCAGCTGTAACTCATCATGTATCATTTTATTTTGGATCTTACAATTGAAAATACAAGAGTTGGTCATCACAAATCAAGAATGGGAAAAGGATTATATGCACATTTTGTAGGAGAGAAGAGCGTGACTCAAGCTGCAGTAGGAACATCTACTGTGTCACCTCTAAGTGTTGAAGATACTGACAATGATGACCCAGAAACAAGCATGCGAGGCTCACTTTCTAGATCAAAAAGTGAGAGAATATACAAAAAGCTTGAGATAGTTGAGAAGCGATAGCTACAGATTGAAGAAAGACAAATTGAGATCGCAAAAAGTCAAATAGAGATGCGATCAATGATAGAAAAATGTTTGACATCCTTGTCAAACAACAGAAAATAGTGGGGACAAAGATAAAGTGTTAATAATGTTGATGATATCTTCCACTCTATTAATGCTGAGGTTGTCGTGAGTGAGGATAATCTTCGTGAAAAAGTTCCGTCAATAGATATAATTGGTCGACAATGGCTCCATCCCTCAATAGAAGCAGCAAATGATACAAAGAAATACTTAAAACGACTATTACCGCCATCTTCAATATGGTAACAGTACCTGTGTTATATTTATAATCAGACAACAAAGTAGGATACAAAACATAATTACTGTCTAAATAACACAATATATCTAATTCAGTTATTGCTTGAATATATAATTAGTAAACGAATGTATATCCCTAATAAATAGTACCAGGATTTGTGTGATTCAAAGCATAGCACAAGGAAGGTAATTGGGCATAAGAGTCCTCCAGACAACCTTGAATTGCTTCCAAAACAAGTTCCTTTACTCTCCATGACTTGTAATAACTAACACCCAACTCCAAATTCCTTACGCATGTGCTTAATTATTGATTTCAGGTCATTACATTCTCCATCAATAACTTTTTGCTTCACACATTCACTAATGATAAGGCTTGTTGCTTGCCTATGGTCACCGCGCATGACGTCAACAGCTCAAGTATGGTCCTTTACATACTATCTAATGACCCAAACCTGAGTAGAAGAAAATTGTTGAGACCCGTACGTACCACTTACAACCATCAATACTACAAGCAACAACAAGCCTTTGACCATTTGATTTCAGAGTTTTGTATTCAAAATTCCTCTTCATAGCTAACAGTTGCAGATTTGGACTTCCAATTTGCTAAAGAAAGCATCCTCCCTCCTTAATATCATCTATTTGCAAAAGTTCATCAGGTCCGCTACAATTCTTGTTATTGGAAAATGTAGAAGAACATGAAGTTAAGGAACTATCTCCTTCATGGCAAGGTTCAAAACACTTCTTGTATGGAAAAAGGTCCATTGGAAATAGAGACAATCAACGGGAAGTTAAAGAGATTAGAATTTCTCAGCGAATAAAATACCATATCAAATCATTGTCATTCTTCACCTTTAAAATACTATATGTTGAAGTTCCAATATCAAAAGAAACCATCAATTTGACCTCATGACTTGCACTCAACTGCAATTTCTTATACACAATTCCATGACATCAAGGTAGGAAGTTGTATCTTCCACAAGCACCTCTAAGTATGAACCATCAATGTAACGGTTGTTCAAATCCCATTTTCTATCATAAGAAATTATCAGATTAAGCATCCCCATATCTATAAGATGACATAGTATTGGTAAGTTAACACTGATATTACTTATCAATGAGATACTATAGTATATCAATGATATACTACGTTAATCAGAAACACGAAAACGCCATACTCCTTCACCCAACTCAGATCAAGCTAGGTTTGAAAAAAATTACAGACGGCTTAGCTGATCATAGAAAATCAAATAACCGAAATAAAAAATAAAAAATCACGAACAGTGAGAAAATAATATGTTTTGTGTTCGAAATTCAAGCAAATTGCATGATCAATAACAACAAAAAATAGATTAGGAATAGATGATTTACTGATTCAATGGATATATTACCTGAATATATGAAGATGATGGAACTTCGATTATGGATGATTCTCTTCAACCTCTAGATAAACGAATACAAGACAATTTTCTATTCGATAATGTAGTTTTCTGTTCAATGTGATGAGAATATCTAGGAAAAACAGAGAAGATAAACAAAGAGAGGCAGCAGTACGATAAGAAACGTTAACCATATGGATGGAGAAATAAAATCAAGAAAATCAGATCAAAATAACATCAGTTATATCTTATTTTAATAAAAAAGACTGAATGGAGTTGAGAACAATGTAGTAAAAATGCATCTAATTTATTTTAAATGGGCCATATTCTGAAATATTCAAAAACTTCTTCCATAATTTATGAAAGTTGTATTTTTTTGAGGCCATTGAGCAAATTTTCTCTAAAAAGGAGGGACATATTGAGTTGATAGAAATAAAAGTAACTTGAGACGAGTTGCCATGATTGTTAAAATGATCAAGCTGATTGAGCTCGTCCAATTGAGTATATATCTTTTCTTGACGAGTTGCTAAGATTCTAAGATTTCAACACAGCATATAACTTTTCTGCCTTTTAAAAATTTACAATATATTGTTCATAATTTTTTTGTATTTATACAAATAAAATTTTCTTTCTATTTAATATTATAACAAACTTGTAACTGAATTATATTTTATATGAATAGTTAATTATTTTTAAAAATTACATACTATTTAAATGTTTAATTTTTATTTTATAGGATGTCTCAGTTAAAAAAAATTGCTAATTACATTCCTGGTTAAAATATCTTTTTAAAAAAAACTTATTAAGTATTTAGGACTAAAAGGTTAAACATAATTTATATTTATAAATAAAATGGTTTCAGAGTAAAAAATGTTATAGGACTAAAAAAAAAAAGTATAATCTGTTCATTAAAAAATATCATCTCCCCCCAGTTACTATAAGCAAACACTGCCTTCCTCCCATGGATGATAAATTTTCTCAATAAATAATTAAGATATTTTTAATGATATCATTATTTACTACTACAAGATATGAATTAATAAAATTTAATATTTTAAATATTATTTTAAAAGATGGTAATTTTTTTTAAAAAGGAAAGAATCGATACTTTCATTTTTTTTTTCACTAAATTTTCCTTTTATATATTTGAGAATTCCTGTTTTGATTATATTTTGATTTATAGTTAATTTGAAAAATTATTCTTGAGTTTCCAAAAAAAAAAGCCAGCTGTTTATAAAAATAAAATTGCCAATTCCGAGAAAAGAAATTTCCAGAACGGCCATTAAAAGGAAGTGCGATTGTTTTTTCGTTACTTTCACGCCAACTCCAAATTATCCCGACTTTAAGTCGGTAACGGAAAATTATTCAGGACGCCGACATTACCAATACCAGCACCGCCATTAGAAATTTTGTGATTTTCGCGCGCCCTCCAAACCCCAAAAGGCCAAAACCCTCCCCTTTACGCCAACCTCAAAATACCCTAACGGTAACTTCAGGGCACCGACAATGGCAGATACACCGCTTCTTGTATCGTCGCACGGCATTACTACTAGTTTTGGGGTAGACGAGGACGAACACGCAATGGCTTTGGCGTGGCAAATCGAACAAGTTCAATGTTTTAGCCGCAAGAAGATCGCCGTCGCCGCGACTCACTGCAAGCTCGGCTTTGGACTCATCAAGATCAATGGCTGTCCGAGAGAACCCGTGCAGCCGGAGATTCTCCGATTCAAAACCTTCGAACCCATACTCCCTCTGAGAAAACACCGTTTCGCCGGTGTCGACATGCGTATTGCCAAAGGCCGCGTGCTTAGGTTGGTTCAAATTTTCCCTCCTAGTTTCTTTGTGTTTCACGCTTTCCAGTACAGTAGATCAACGAAAATTTATCCTGCCGTCCTTTGTCATTTCCTCTCCTCAGTTTGCTGATACGAAATTTCCCTCACGGCTCACCTAGTCTCCCTTCGTGTTCGCGACAATGTTAGCTCTCAGTTTCTTTTTGACATCATCAAGCCCCTCAAAGAACAGATCCTGAAGGAGTTCTGATGCAGAAGGCCTCGCAAAACCCAAGCACTTCTTAATGAAGCCCTTAATTTGTGGGTCTCTGACCTTGTCCATGGCCTTAGGTCTTTCCCAGAGGTTACTTTCTTGTAGAATTTTGTAATACTATCACATTCACTGTAAGGAATGTCAAGCGTCATCATCTCCGACAAACATACCAAATGAATATATATATCCACTTTCTCTGTGTAGTTCTCTTCATATAACTCTGGTGCCCATAAACTCTGGCGTCCCAATCATAGAATGAACCCTATGGTTTCTCTCTATCATAGTCGCCAACCCCAAATATCCGATTTTGATCTGCCCCCAGATTCCCATTGATGAAGATGCTGCAATTGAGGTCTCTGCGAATGATACAATAATCATGAAGATGAAGATACTCTAACCCCGGCACCCTTCATTCTTCTTCACAGTTATGATTAGAGGTGACGGTGCTTCTTCTGCTAATCGGCAGCTCCCAGAAACGGAAGCTTCAGTGATGAAGTTCAGAGTCTTGTTCTGTGTCTGTCATGACTGGTGAAAGTCCAATAATTGTTTTCATTCTTCAACTTGCTCAGAACTCAATCTCGTAGTAGAGTCGTTTGATCAGGCTTCGTCGTTGCGGAATTTTTGTATGGAGATTTCGTTTCAACCACCCAGCCACCTTCTTTGCCTTCTACTGGATTGAAGCTCTGTATACTTTTTTACAGCACCGGCTCCAAGTAACTCACAGTATCTTCCATATTGACCAGTTGAATCAATCTCAATGGTGGTTCAGCACTTTTATCAGACGAACTTTAATTGTAAGTTAATTTAAAAAGAAATGTGGGTATTGCCTACAACATATGGAGAATTAAGGCCTCCACTTGGGAAGCATTGATTAAAGGTTAGAAGTTTAGATTTTATTTGCAGTTTGATTGCATTTCCTTGTATGTTGTAACTTGATCATTTCATATTCTCACTCAAGGACAGGCTAACAAGGTCCAGATGTATTTTTTGTTTCTGACTTACCTACAATTTATTCCTTACATACATTGCTTGCACTATCTATCAAAATTGAATATGTGGCTTCTTAGAGAAATGGTGGCACTTTGATTTTATTTAGATGCTTTTTGGTTTGGCATTTTATCATTTTTATCAGTGCACTTGAACCGGCTCAATGACAATATATGTTTGATGCCCAATTTAAATGTAGAGAAAATAACATTTTTAGGGGATTTCCTTTTCCTTTCAGCTTAGACTATCAATGCCTCCGCTGCTGAATGGTATTCCCAAAAATTTCTACATCTATTAGTCATTGCTTAATCTGAAAGCTTGAATGGAAATGTGGGTAAATTGGGCTTATTTTGGAGCTTAAACTTGACATACAGAACTTGAATAGCATTCCTACATGTATGACTTGATTGTTATCTATCAAAGTTTGATATGTGGCTTCATAGAGAAATTAGAAATGACAGTACTTCTGTTTTCAAAGACAGTTGTGGTTTTGGATTTGATCATGCTTCTTAATGCACCCATATAAGGCTCAATGATAATTATATGATTTGATGCCTAATTAAAATGTGCGGAAATATATTCTTAGGGGATTACTTTTTCATTTTAGCTTGGGCTATTTGTTCCTATGTTGTTGCTTGTAGACCCAAAAAAAAAAAAAAATTGCTTCGTGGATCATTCATTGCTTTATTTGGAAATGTGGTAAATTGAGGTTAATTTTGGAGGCTTGAAATTGACATGCATAGCTGGAATGGTCATTTGTACATGCATGGATTAAATGCTATCTACCAAAGTCTGATATTTGGGCATTTCAGAAAAATGACAGTACTTTTATTTTCAATAGATGGTTGTGGTTTTGGATTTGACAATGCTTCTTAAGACACCCATATAAGGCTCAATGATAATATATGATTTGATGCCTCATCAAAATGTGCAGAAATATATATTTAGGGGGATTACTTATTCCGTTAAGCTTAAACTATGTGTGACTATGCTGCTGGTTGTATCCCCCTAAATATTACTGCATGTATCATTGATTGACTTATTTGAATGCTGTGTCGCATTGTGGGTAAATGGAGGATTATTATGGAGGCCTTACAGAGTTGCAAAAGTATTCTCCTCATGAATTGCTTGTGTGCTATCTATCCAGAATTGGATATGTTGCTTGTTAGAGAAATGGCAGCAGTTTGATTTTATACAGATGCTTTTTGGTCTTGGATTTTATCATTTTTTTACGGCACTCTCACAAGGCTCAATGACAATATATGATTTGATGCTTAATCTAAATGTGCAGAAATATATTGCTTGGGGGGGGGGGTTACTCTTTTCTTTCAGCATAGACTACAAGTGCCTATGCTGCTGGATGTTGGCCCCCAGAAAAATTTGTACACTTACAAATCATTGCTTCCTCTAAATGCTTGGATGGAAGTGTGAGTAAATTGAGGTTTATTTTGGAGGCTTAAAATTGACATGCGGGGCTTGGATGGCATTCCTCACATGCATGGCTCGATTTCTATTTATCAAAGTTCAATATGTGGCTTCATTGAGAAATGACAGTACTTTTATTTTCGATAGGCGGTTGTGGGCTTGAGTGCTATCTATGAAAGTTTGATAGATTGCTTCTTAGACAAATGACAGCACTTGCATTTTCGATAGACGGTTGTGAGCTTGAGCGCTGTCCATCAAAATTCGATATGTGGCTTCTTGCAAAATTGACATTTTTTATTTTCAATAGACGGTTGTGGTTTTGGATTTGACCTTGCTTCTTAAAGCACCCATATAAGGCTCAATTACATTATATGATTTGATGCCTGATCAAAATGTGCAGAATATATTTCAAGGGGATTACTTATTCTGTTAAGTTTAACCATGTGTGACTATGCTGCTGTTTTTTATCCCCCAAAAAATTACTGCATGTATCATTGATTGACTTATCTGAATGCCTGTATCGCATTGTGGGTAAATGGAGATTATTTTTTGAAGGCCTTATAGAGTTGCAAAAGTGTTCGTCTCGTGAATAGCTTGTGAGCTATCTGTCGAAATTGGATATGTTGCTTGTTGGAGAAATGGTGGCAGTTTGATGTTATAAGATGCTTTTTGGTCTTGGATTTTATCCTTTTTTTTACACCCCTTTTACAAGGCTCAATGACAACCTATGATTTGATGCCTAATCTAAATGTGCAGAATATATTGCTGGGGTTACTCTTTTCTTTCAGCATAGACTACAAGTCCTATGCTGCTGGATGTAGGCCCCAGAAAATTTGTACACCTATAAATCATTGCTTCCTCTAAATGCTTGGATGGAAGTGTGAGTAAATTGAGGCTTATTTTGGAGGCTTAAAATCGCATGGCAGAGCTTGAGTAGCATTCCTCACATGCAAGGGCTGATTTCCATTTATCAAAGATCAATATGGCTTCTTAGAGAAATGACAGTACTTTTATTTTCAATTGCGGTTGTGGGATTGAGTGCTATCTATGAAAGTTTGATAGATTGCTTCTTAGAGAAATCACAGCGCTCTTATTTTTAATAGACAGTTGTGGGCTTGAGCGTTGTCCATCAAATTTTGATATGTGAGTTCTTATAGAATTGACATTACTTGTATTTTCAATAGACGGTTGTGGTTTTGGAGTGGGCCATGCTTCTAATGCACCCGTATAAGGCTCATGACATTATATGATTTGTTGCCTTATCAAAATGTGCAGAAATATTAAAATTAGGGGGAAGATATAAAGCTTTAGGGTTAACTTATCCGTTAAGCTTAAACGTGTGTTACTATGCTCGCTATTTGTATCCCCCCAAAGAGTTACTACATTTATCATTGATTGACTTATCTGAATGTTTGTATCGCATTGTGGGTAAAAATGGAGGATATTATGGAGGCCTTACAGAGTTGGTGCAAAAGTATTCTTTCATGAATGGCTTGCGTGCTATCTGTTGAAATTGGATATGTGTTGCTTGTTGTTAGGGAAATGGTGCAGTTTGATTTTTTACAGATGCTTTTTGGTCTTGGATTTTGTCATTTTTTTTGCAGCACTATCGCTAAGGCTCAATGACAATATATGATTTTTTGCCTAATCTAAATGTGAAGAAATATATTGCTGGGGGGGGGGGGGGTTTTACTCTTTTTCTTTCAGCTCAACTATGAGTGCCTATGCTACTGGCTGTAGGCCCCCAGAAAATTTGGTACCTATAAATCATTGCCTCTAAATGCTTGCATGGAAGTGTGGGTAAATTGAGGCTTATTTTTTTGGCTTAAAATTGTCATGCGGAGAGCTTGAGTAGCATTCCTCACAGCATGGCTCGATTTCTATTTTTCGAAGTTCAATATCTGGCTTTTTGGAGAAGGATGAAAGTACTTTTATTTTCGATAGGCAGTTTGTGAGCTTGAGTGCTATCTATGGAAGTTTGATAGATTGCTTCTTAGAGAAATCACAGCACTCTTATGTTCGATAGACAGTTGTGGGCTTGAGTGCTGTCCATCAAAGTTTGATATGTGGCTTCTTAGAGAATTGACAGTACTTCTATTTTCAATGGACGGTTGTGGTTTTGGATTTCACCATGCTTCTTAATGACCCATACAAGGTTCAATGGCATTATATGATTTGTTTTGCCTCATCAAAATGTGTAGAAGAAATATATTTTTAGGGGGATTACTTATTCTTGTTAAGTTTAAACTATGTGTGACTATGCTGCCATTTGTATCCCCTTGAAAAATTACTAACATTTATCATTGACTAACTTATCTGAATGCCTGTATCATATGTGGGTAAATGGAGGATTATTATGGAGGCCTTAGAGAGTTGCAAAAGTATTCCTCTCATGAATGGCTTGTGAGCTATCTATCGAAATTGGATATGTTGCTTGGTAGAGAAATGATGGTAGTTTGATGTTATACAGATGCTTTTTGGTCTTGGATTTTATCATTTTTTTCCGGCACTCTCACAAGGCTCAATGACGACATATGATTTGATGCCTAATCTAAATATGCAGAAATATATTGCTTGGGGGATTACTCTTTCTTTAAGCTTAAACTATCAGTGCCTATGCTGCTGGATGTAGGCCCCCATAAAATTTCTACACTTGTAAATCATTGCTTCCTCTAAATGCTTGGATGTAGTGTGGGGTAAATTGAGGCTTATTTGACATTCTGTTTAATTGCGGTCTACTGATTTTCTCTATCCCCAACGTTTGTGTCGACACTACTTCTGATTGATTACTTACGATGCACTCTTCCTATTTGCTGGAAGATAATATAGTCAAAAAAAGAATTGGTGCCAATGGTAATGTGTTAGACACCAAGCAAGATGGAATCGGGTGTACCAAAGGTTAGCCGAAATACTCCAAAACTCTCTACTTTTAATAGTAGCATGATTTTATTAACTATGAACATTATTTGCTCAATTTTGTTGTCATAGTTTGAAATGTTTATGTTTTATTTTCCACAGTTATAGTAGATCCTGTGTGCTTAATTGTCAGCTTTAATTTACGTTTTAAGAACTACATGGAGTCACTTTTATTGTTATGAAAATGTTATTCTATATTGAGTAGTTTTATGTCATACTTGGCGATGCTTTTGTTGCTCACCGCAAGTGCACGGATCTTAACAAGTAATATAATGAAAGTAAAGTATCGTTCCCTCGAGGATTTGTTCAAAAATAATGATAAAGTAAAAGACTAAGTAAATTCGATCAAGTTGAGCTACGCAACATTAGGTGAAAATGATTTTGTAAATGAAACTAACACTAGAAAATTAAGAAAGTGAGTGATTCACAAACTTCCAACACAAATTGGGACCTAGGATTATTTGTCCCCCTTGCATTTCATAACATCAAAATTACCTCCTCTCATAAATGCTTTTAATGAAAAAAGTGCTAATCTAGGGTTCTAAAAATACTTGGACAAGCTCTCTCAAGTCATGAACAAGTGTTTAGTTAAATTAATTGCCTAATCTCTTGTTATAATTAATAAAATTCATTTTTAAACATCAACCTTAATGTGGCTATGCAAGGTTAGCAAGTATATCTCTATTTACTAGCAAAACCATCCATTCAACATGCAAATATCAAGTTCTTGCACAATATTACCCAGTTCTACACTCAACCTAGCCCTCTCAAGCATCAATTAAGTGAACCCAACATCTAAATGGTGGCCAATCATTTAGAAGCATTAAGGAAAGAGTAAAATAAAACACATATATATCATTAATCACAAAAAGAGAGGAGAGAAATATAGTGTTAATCCATACAAGGGTTCCAAATAATCCTAGAACAAAGGGTTTAGCTACTCATAATCATCCACAAGCTACAAATATACAAAATAAGTGGACCCATTTCAGATTATAAGAGAGGAAAGGGAAGAGGAATAGAAAAATCGAAGAAAGAAAGTGAGCTTCAAATGTCTTCAAAGCTTCAATCTCTTGATCCTAACTCTTCCAATGCCTAAACCCTAGCACAACCAAGCTCCAAAAGTGTCTAAAAGTCTGAAAAATATGTTCTGGGTTGAGCTCTCAGCTTATAGTGTCCTAGCCAAACTAATTTCTAATAAATGAAACGCAGCGTTTTTCTGAAAGCGATGAAAGTCGCGAACGAAAGTCACGACTTTGAGACGACTTTGGTAGTTTTGCACTGTTTTTACAGCTAATGAAAATCATTCATTTTGCTCTTGATTTCTTCATCCAAAAGCCTTCCAAAAAACATCCACAAAGCTCCAGAAATGCTTATAATCAAAACTTCAATCAAAATAACATGAAATTAGGCGAAAAATATCAAATTAAAGCTAAGAACACAAGCCCAAAGCAAAATGCACATTTTCCTAATTTGGGCGATAAAAACATATACATTGAACCAAAATGAATTAGAATTAAAGGAAAATGTGATGAAATAACATGAACTTCTAGAGGTTAACAGCTTTCTATTGGTTTTAATTGAATAAAATATTACTATTTTATCTTATTGCTATTTACAGTTGGCTTTGCTACCATTACAATCATAGTATGCAAGAACTCTATTGGATCAGCTGATTTTTAAAACACAAATAGATTTTTCTGATCTCTGTTTCTGGATTCTTTCATAATGCAGATTGAGAAGCCTTTATTGAGACATGGTGGCAGACTTGAACACAACGAAAAGTGCTGTGGTTCATACTATGGGGTAGAAGAGGCACGTGTGATCATTTGATGATAAATCTGCCTTGGTTTTCTTTTGAATTTGAAACTTCAGTAAGATGTTTTGGTTTTCAAATTGGACTACTAAAAAGTTACGTAGGGTTGGATATTTGAAACTAATCTCTTCAAGTTTACAGTGGAAAATCAACTTTAAGCGTTGAGGAATCTGTTTTTTTTTTTTTTTTAGAAAAAAAGACTAGGTTTTGTCATGTATATCTTTTCAATTTAACATGAAATAAATGATTATCGAGCGTTTGTCAACTCATAGTTTATGATCCTGACAATTTGTTTTATGTGTAAAAAGAGAACGTTATATACAAAGGGTAAAAGATGAAGTAAGGTAGCTGGAATTTTTGATTTTGCCACTGGGAAAAGCGGCGACTATCTTTTTGGCTGATCTGATTGCTTTTCAGGATAATCATAACGTAAGACTCAGAGAATCTCTAATATCTATTGCTTTGACTTTATAAAATTTTTTTTGTAGAATTTTTTTTCCCAATGCTTTCTGCTTGTATTTCAAAATTGATTTACAGAAATATGGTGCATAATGCAGTCAGCCATTCAATCAACAAGTTAAGTTTTGGTGACCATTTCCCTGGATTGGTAAATCCTCTTGATGAGTAATACTTTTTCTTCTGTCTTTATTTCCAACTAACAAGGATGGTTTAAAGTGTCCTGACATAAATATTAATAGCCAATTTTTTGCTTAAATTTTGACTCAATGCTGTACAATTTTCATTTTAATTTAACCAAAGGTTGGATTGACTAAGTACAAAATGATTTAGAATTCTCTTGCAGTTCTGCTAGAATTCTCTTGCAGTTCTGCTAGAGATTTTTGCAGGCATGTTTTACATGCGGCATTTAAATTTATCTTTCTAGGATAGCGTTTTTCTTTGAAATTTTAAAAGATGTAATTTCTCCCAGCGTGCAAATTCATTTTATAATGTAATATACTTGAGTGTTCATGTGTGGAATACTATTATGAAAGGAAATTCTTCAACTATAATTTTTGTCCAAATCATGTAAAGATCTCCCTGATGGAACCGTGGTATATACCAGTATTTTGTCAAGGTTAGTACTATATAATGTTCTCATTAAATTTCTTGTGCCATTTTTTGGGAGTGTCAGCTAAATGTTTAAAGACGTTAGTATTTACCTAATACAACCATTTTTTGGTGATGTTGCAAAAATCTGAACCATCTTTGTTATGGATCCTATTTGTGTGTCTACACACACAATATTGAATTATTTCTATTTTGTTGTTAACTTTCTTGCTCACCAAAAGAAACATTTTTAATACTTACCTATATTAATGCATTAAATAGTAGAGATATGCTTGTCTGCCTTTTTTTGAATAAAGATGATAGCTAGCCTAACATAATATGTAATATTACATTGGGCTCATGAATTATCTACTCAACCCTTCATCATTCTCCACCTTCAAACACCAAGGGGGATGAGGATGATCAAAGCTCATAAAATTATTAGGCATGCCATGAGTATGCCTAGCTCAAGAGTTTGCGCATCTAGCAAAGAAATGAAGACTAGCTTCCACTGTTTGTATTCAAACTTTTTATCAATTCACTTTTGTACGCAGTTTCATGTTTGCTTGTACATTTGTGCACAATTGCATGTGGTCCCTACAGTTTACACAAACCTCAGGGGTTGGTGTTACTTATTCAAATCAGGTATTGCAAATTAAGGAAAAGATGCTATTATTCCATAGTCTTGTTTGGATGATGCCCAAGTTGTATTGTATATGTTGTTGCACAGTATTCTGTGACACAGCATTTCAATAGTTCAGAGTTTGGTGCAGTTCCTAGAGTCTTTTTCTTTTATGATATAAATCCAATCAAGGTAAAACTGCTCCACACACTTTCAACTTGTTTTTAAATACTCAGTGATAGGTGAGCAATCTTTTAAATTTTTCTTGTTCTGCCATAGGTTGTTATATTGTTTTTTTTTTTAATATCATGTTCGTTTATGATAAAAGTGTTTATATTCTAAGTTTTCCTTTAACGTTTTCATTCTTTAACCAGAAAATCACTATTTTTCTTTGCAGTGACTATTTGTTTAAACCTTTTCTAATTGGAGATTGGAGATTTTGATGTCAGAAAAATCATTTCTCCTAAGGTAAGGTTTTTGATTGCTTCTTCCTCTACTTTATTGTATCGGTATGAATATGATTACCTTTCTTTTTCCCTATTGAGAAATTGATTCAATAATTTTACTGCCATTGTTTTTTATATTATAAAGTTTAGAATTTGTTGAAGAATAACAGAATGGAAGACTTGCGAATGATGTGTAGAATTTGTTTTGAATTATATAAATGGCAACCAAAGGAGTAAAAGATTTGGGTCTTCTTAAGGACAAATTCTTACCATGGTATTCCCCAAAATCACCTTTATATCACTTTCTGTCTACTAATATGTTTTGAATCAACCGAAAGTTTCTGTGTACAACAACTTACATGTATACTGTTTTTAAAAAACAAAATGAAATTTTATTCAAATAAATGATGGTAACTACTTTATAGTAGTTTTTATTTTGCTTCTAGAACAACTTGAATGAGAAATATTGGGAGACTAAAATATATTTTTCATCTCTTTAATTTATCATATACCATTTATCTTTTTGGTTATTTATAAATATATTTATTATAAAGTTGTTGCATTGGGGGAAATAATTAGTTACTCTCAAAACAAGTTGTGGTTGTAGCAAAGTAATTCCATATTATGATCAGGGGAAATTTTGATTTTAAAGCTGAGTATGTTCTGAATCTATTTCCTTAATTATAATTACTTGAAGTATGCTGTCTATATAGTTTTGTCAGTGTTAAGATTTGTATTGAATTATTGACATGACCTTATCCAGGTCAGTGTTCAATAATTTTGGATAGTTTTTCTAGCCGACAAAATATGGGGATTTTTTGATTTTGAGAATATATTTGATGGACCACGAATTTCGATCATTGATATTGCATGTTTTGTGTTTACTTGTGTTGTTAATATTTGATGGCTATGTTTTGCAATTGCCCTCATGTGTGGTTGTCACTCTTGCTCACTGTACTGCAGCGTGCTGGTCATTGATAAATCAATATGAATATATTTACTTGCGCTTGTTCATTCATGAGTGAGTTTTCTTTTATGACTTTAACGTTGATCATCTAAACACACACACACACACACGCGCGCACACACGCACACACAGAGAGAATCGTTCACTAGCAATGTCTCCCTTTGAAAATGAGGATGGGCCATTAGAATTGAAGGTCCCTCCCACTTTAGTAATTTTACTTCACATGGTTTATTATTTTCTTGAAAACATTTTTACCATCAATTTTTAACACAAATCCCTTCCTGTATGCACAATAATTATTAAGTTTTCTATAACGTTGATTGGGTTTTTTAGAACATTTTTTCATTAATTTTTCCAGCAATTTTGATTTTGATTTTTAAAATCATGATGTCTTGTTTTATTTAATATCCAGCAGATTTTTCACAAACTGTTAAATGTTTAGGATCTTACTCTCATTTTATGCTCTTTATAATTTAAGCATTAATCTTATTATACTTTAATCATTAATTTTATTAGATATAGCTTTTTATGTATGTGATTTCTTGTGAACTGTTCTCCACATATCGAAGGTAATTTGTTAGTTGAGAGTTGTTTGTATCATTGTCACCAATAATGTTTCTGTAGTATTGACTTTATAGCTTAGGTTTATTCTGATCCCTTTATGTAGCTTACGTATATTGCTTTTATCATTGGATTAAGTTTTTTTTTTTTTTTTAACTTCGTTGAGTGGGGGATAAGTTTATAAATTATGTAATAATATTTTGAACTAAATTTATGGCAATCAAATTTTATTACCTATATGAAAGTCATGCTAATGGACTTGCCTCTTGACAACTAATTATTTCAGGGAGGGCTATTGTCATAGGCTTTCAGTATTTCTTTGTTCCTTTTAATGTGATATTGATCTTTAAACTATAAATTTCCTCTCATTTTGCCTAAGCTCAAAATTGAAGATGGTAAGAAAACCAGCAGAATGGACTAGCAGGTTTGGGATATTTTGTCAACTACCATTGATTGAATCTGAGTAATGTTGGACTGTGCTCTATACTCCAAGATGAGGAGAATTTTGGCCATCTCCAACTCTATCAGGTTAGCATAATATATTAAATGTCAATCAGTGCTTATTATATTGTCAATTAATAATCTTCTGTAATACATGATGTACACATATAGTAACTGTATTTCTTATTCTTACTATTTTATGCTAGTTTAATAATTTACTTTAATCTAATGCTCCTTTCTAAAAAAAAAAAATCTTTTTTCAGGTTTGTTATAGCACATTACCTTAGAAAATCTGAAGCAAATTGAACATATGACTGCCTTTTTGTGTATTTTAATTCATGACTGGTGCAAATTTTGTGAAGCAAATTGGTGGATGCTTTGAAATATTTGAAGCTTACATTTCATGTTATTTAGTGCCTATCAAGTATTATAAAGATATGTATTATTGCAAGCTGGGTATTCGCATTTACTAAGTTCATGTCCTTTGTTAACAATGGCCAATATTAGAAATGATGTTTCCTGGACTTCTAAAAATTAATGATTTGTCCAATCCTTTTGTCAATTTCAAAGCTGGCAATTCCACCTTCAGGAAAAATTCAGTGCTATGATTACTCTTTCTGCAATAATATGGTTTTTATATGTATTAGTATCTAATTACCTTCTAGCTTTCACTCATACATCAAAAGAACTCATGGATTGTATTCTGTGAATGATAGATGAATAGGTTCTCCCAGAAATATGAACAAGCTCTATTAGTATATTCTGGATAGCGATATTAAAGAGAAAAAGAAGTGTTCGTGCGGCAAGTTTTGGGCAATTGGTGAAGCAAATTAAAGGTATGACCCACTATATTTTGCTTCATTTTTTTCATGCCTGGACATTTTCTGAGAATTTTATTTGTCAATTTAGTTAGAATATGTGCCTATGTAATTAATTTTTCAAAGGCTAAATAGTAGGAAGTATCTGTGCTTTCTATGCAATGCATGTGATAGTGATAGAAATAGAAGCTTAGATTGGACAAAACAGAATTCTTCCATGAGTGAATGTTCTTTATTTCCCTTATTTTGCTCTTCTTTATTCTTAATTCTTATTTATTTTCCATGAGTGATTTCCTGTAATGCTTTTTTTTTTCATACATTATTTCTTTTTAAGTTATTTTCCATAAGTAATTTACTCTAATGCCTTTTTTCCACACATTATTTCTTTTAAGTTCTCTATAGCACTTTACTTATCTTCCTTTCATTGATATTTTGTAGCAATTTAGGAACTATGGAGTAAATTGAATTTTTCAAAATAATCTGAAAAGATATTAATATTTTTTTGACATTATGTGCATTGCACTGGGTAGAAGACTACAACAACAACAAGCCTTTATCCCACTAGGTGGGGTCGGCTACATAAATTGCAAGACGTCATTGTGCTCTATCATTTATCAAGCTTTTAAGAATATTATTAATTAAGAGATTGCGTTCAATAACTTCTAAGAGTGTTCTCTTAGGCCTTCCTCTACCTCTCTTAATCGGACTCAAAGTTATATGTTCCACTCTTCTCACTGGTGCCCCCTTGGTCTTCTTTGTACATACCCAAACTATCTCAACCGATTTTCTATCATTTTTTCCTCAATAGGTGCCACCCTCACTTTTTCGTGCACGTGCTCATTTTGAATTTTATCTTTACGTGTATGTCCGCACATCCATCGTAACATTCTCATCTCTGCTACTCCAACTTTATGCTCTTGCTGTCTCATTAGAGTCCAGCATTCACTACTATATAATATTGCCTGTCTGATAGCAGTGCGATAAAACTTTCCTTTAAGCTTATTAGGCACCTTATGGTCGCAAATAACTTTTCTCAAATAAGGGTAGAAGACTAGTTATAATAATTTTTTTTGGTAAGCACGCTTGCAAAACTTCTGATCGTGGCATCGTTTGATGCCTTGTTTGAGAGTAAATTGAGATTGATTGGAGCCTTGAACTGGACACCCAAAGTTGACTTATATGCCTTGAGATCTATCAAAATGGCATATGGGGTTTATATGAATAGTGATGGTACTTTAACTTTTGGCTTGGAATGTCCATATTTGTTCTGCTAGTAGTTGTTTGCTTGCAAGTATACCCTTTTTTTGGGCAAAATTCTGACTATTGCATGATTTGATGATTGGTCTGAATACCCATATACAAATGTGGTGTGGACAAATTGTGATAGATTTGAAGGCGTGGACTTGGCATCCAAAGGTGTTGTAATGTTCCTTACATGCATGGCTAGAGATATATCAAAATGGGATATATGGCTTGTAAGGTAAAATAACTATTTGGATTTAAAATTGATGTCTTTGCTTTTGGTATTTGCATCTTAATGCACTCATTTGAGGCTCGGTGATCATTTTATCATTTGATGCCTAATCTGAAAGTGCAGAAATATATTTATAGGGATCTACTTTTACTTTTTCACTTAGACCCTCTTTGTTTCATGTTAAATATATACTTGTTTTTACAAACTTCTCTAGCAAGCAGACAAGTAAAGCTTGATGAATTCTTTTTCATTTGATGCTTGGTTCAAATGCTACAAATGTGGGCAAAATGAGATTGATTTGTAGGCCTGAATTATTTTAATTTCGTGGAATTTGAGTGAAGAAATTTCACAAGCTGAGTATAAGCTGTTTATATATAGAAAAGGAAGAAGAAATAATTACTAAGGATGCCTTACAATATTTACAATAAATATCAAATATTCCCACACTCTTCTTAAGTTGGATCATAGATGTTAATTATGTTCATTTTTGCTTATATAATTCTTGAACGTAGGATTAGGTAACCTTTTAGTTAAAACATCAACTGCTTGCAACTTTGTAGGCAGATATGTCAAGCATAGAATTCCTTCTTTCATCTTTTTCTAATGAAATGTCAGTCTATTTTTACATGTTAACCTATCATGTTGTATTGGATTTAAAGCCATACATATGGCGGCTTTATTATCATAGTAAAGCTTTAATGGTGAACTTGCTCCAACTTGTATTTCATTCAAGAATGGTCTCAACCACAACTCTTCTATTATTCCTTAAGCTAAAGCCATTAACTTAGATTCAGCACTATTTTTTGAAAAAACTCTTTGCTTTTGGCTTCTCCATATGACTAGATTATCCCACGGAAATGAGCAATAGCTAAAAGTTGACCTTTGATCTCTATAAGTTCCACCCCAACTAGCAACAGTGTAAACTTCTATAGATCTTTGCTCATGTTATCCAAAGAATAGTCCTCTATTAGGAGTATCTTTCAAATATCTCAAAAATCCTGTAAATTGCCTCCATATGACTCTTCATAGGGTAGCTCTTATATTGATTGGCTACACTGATAGCGGATGTTATATCTGGCCTTGTATAGGAACAATATATTATTTTTCCAATAAGTTTCTAATATCTCTCCTTGTCAGCTAGTGTTGCTTTTTTTTCTTCACATTCCTTATCTAAGTTTTCTTCCTCTCCAAAATCTCTCTCTTTGCCCTTCTTTTCCTCAGGTTTCTTCTTTGGTTTATTGACCTCAATAGGAGTTTTAATAAGTTTGCAACCTAACGTACCTGTTTTAGTTAGAAGATCTAGCATATATTTTCTTTGAGAAATATAGATTCCTCTTTTAGCATGGCAACTTTCATCCCAAGAAAGTTTCTAGCTTCCTGAGGTCTTTAACTTCAAATTCCTTGCCAATTGGAGCGTTTATTCTTTCTATCTCCTCAAGGTGATCTCTGGTGAGTATTATGCCATTGGCATAAACAATAAGAATACATTTCTTGCTCCCTTCAATCTTAATAAACATTGTATGATTCAATAGTGCTTGCTTATGTCCTTCGGACTTCAGTGCTTTTGAGAACTTATCAAACCAAGCTCTCGGTAAGCCATATAAAGATTTTTTCAGTTTATAAACTTAATTATATAGGCTTCTTTCAATTCTCTATTTAGAAAAGAATTTTTTATGTCAAGTTGGTAAAGATGCTACTCAAAATTAATTACTACAAACAATAAGACCTTGATAGTGTTCAATTTTGTCACTAGAGCAAATGTTTATTCATAGTCCAGATCATGTCTGTGTGAACCCTCTTGTAACTAAGCATACTTTAAATGTGTCAAGGGTTCCGTCAGCCTTGTATTTTGGGATGAACTCTTGCTTACAACTCATTATTCTTTATCTTTTGGGTAGTTAGACAAGTTCTCATGTCTCATTTCTTTTAAAGCCCTCATTTCTTTCATGATCGCACTTTGCCATTCAGGAATGCTTAGAACTTTCTGTATAGTCTTAGGTACCTTTACCTTATTAAGATTAGTAACAAAAACTTGATATTGATAAGAGTATGTTGTATAAATCAAACCTTTATTGGATGAAAAGTACATGAGCTGGTTGCTTCCTTAAAGTAATAGGAAGATCTAGATTAGTAGAGTTAGTTACTTGTTCTGTACCACCTAGCTTTAGGGTTTCAAGAGTTGTCCCTAAATTTAAGTCACCTTGAGTATTTGCTTCAGTAGCTACCTCTGATTTCATCTCTTTTAGTGCTTCGAGTATAAGTTGTTCAATAACTTTTGATTTCTTTTTTCAAGTATAAATTGGAAGTTCTCCTTTTTTTAATACCTCTGATTACATCTTCTGTTTGCTTATGTTCCTCGAATTGTGGTATAAAAGGGAATGGTATTAGAAGGATAGATACTAGTAATGGCTCAGGGATTGGTGGTAGTAATGGTTCAGTTGGTGCACACCATGGCTCAAGAAGTACTAATTCTCTATTTGGTTCTTATTTCTAAGTTTGAGATTCATTTATGTTCTCCCCTTGAATTGAAGAATTGGGATAGAATGGAGTTGGTTTATGAAAGGTGATATTAAGGTTGACAAATGTGTGTTATGTGGTAGGGTGAAAGCATTTGTTACCTTTTCAAGTAGGAGAATAGCCAAAGAACATGTATTTTATGGCTTGGGGTTTGAGTTTGTTGTTTTTGTGGTTATGAACAAAGGTGATGTAACCAACACAAGTAGTGGAAGATTGGTTTCAATATGGGAGGTGAAGAAAATACTTTGCAATTTTTGGAGATAAGTTTCAAAAGATTCAACTTAGCATATGGTTGATGAGGTAGGTCGCTGTCAGAATAATATTACCCGAATAAAATTTAGGCACATTGTAGGTAAACATAAGTGTTCTAGCAATGTCAAGTATGTGACAATTTTTCTTTTCCACAACCCCATTTCGTTGGGGCGTATGGGTACAAAAATTGGTATGCACAATATTGTGCATTTGGATAGAAATACTCAAAATTGGTTAAAGTATTTTGTGCCATGGTGATGTGAAACGAAAGAGGAGAGATGAAGAGAGAGAAGGGAGGAGGAAGAGAAAACTGTATAATTTCTATTCAAATGCCAAAATTGCTTATGAAAAGAATCCTAGTTTTATTTATAGAGATTTAAATTAGTAAAGAATAATAAATAATCATGCAAATATACCTAAAATCAATAGAATATGATAAGATATTTAACTACTCTAGATATGATAGTTTATTTGATAATGTTTAAAACATGACAAAGATAATTTAGAAATAACAAAGATAATTTAGATTTTTTGGGATGTCTTATTTTATTCAAAATAAATAAAATCTAAATGTTAAATCAAATAAACTAAATTCTAGATACTGAATCAAATCTTATAAAATAAACTCTAAATAGACTTAAAACATGATTTCCATCATTTCCCCCTTGGTTGAAAGAACTCTCCACTTGAGAGGTAAATAGTTAGTAGTTGGTGAACAAAGCAGAGTTGATGTTGTGGAACATGTGACATCCAAATCAAAATGACCCTTCTAGTAGATGAGGTATTGTTGGATAGGACCTGCTTGAGTTACAATCATTTGTTCATCCACAATAGCATTAATGGAGTCGGTAAGTGGCATAACAACGACAATGGTGGAATTGGGGCAAATTGGGGTTGTGTACTTATAAAGTCATCAGAGAGCTAAGGAGGTGGGTCAAAAGTACCTTGATAAGGAACAAGATTTTCAACATTAAATAATGGATTGATAGACATATTTGGAGGTAAATTTAATAAATAAGCATTGGGCCTCAGTTTCTTTGTAATGGAAAAAATGCTAGAAGCATGAGCATGTAACTTTTCGAGTGAATTTCTCGGGAAGCACTTTGGACATATGCAAGCCATAATATAGTTTCCAACATCAAATTCTTGGGAATGACAGATGCATTAGTAGTTAATTTATATACATCATTACTCATTGATAATTTATGCTTAATCTTAGCGTGAAGGTTGTGAAGATGATGGGAAAAAGGTTAGGCTAATTCAGATGTACAAGTTGTAAGAGGGATAGGTAAGGTCAATAGGCTATTTGGGGTTATACGCTTGAACAATTTGAAATAGACTCTCATTAGTGGACCATTTAATTGAATTATTATAAGGAAACTTTGCGATTGGCAGTACCGAGCCTTAATTTCTTAATTTATTGTTGGCTAGATTCTTGAGCAAGTTACCTAAACTACAATTAACAACATCAATTTGACTATTAGTTTAAGGATGAATGGCAAAGGAAAACTTTAATTGGGGTACTAAAGAGCTTTCAAAGGATCTTTGAATAATAACTAACAAATTTGACATCCATGTTCGAAATAATAGAGTGGGTAAGTTGTGAAGATGGACAATCTCTTGAAAAAATAGCTTAACAAGATAGGAGGCATTGATGGTTTTGTACATGGGACGAAATGTGCCATTTTTGAGAATTGGTCAATGATAACTAGAATTGAATCATGCCCTCTAACTTTCTTAGGCAAACCTAATATAAAGTTCATAGTAATATCCTTCTAAGGTGCCTCAGGGAATTGGTAAGGGCATATACCATCTTATATTTCTTTTTCTTTGCCTTAGCAGTATGGCATGTGTGATATTGAACTAGGATTCTAGTAACGTCTCACTTAAGGGAGGACTAATAAAATCTATCCTTTGCTAAGGTTATGGGTGGATACCGAAATGTCTAGCTAAGCCTCTAGCATGTAATTTCAAGACGAGAAAATTGCACATTGAAGTATGAGGGATACACAGTCTAAAGCCTCGAAATAGGTACCTGTTGAGGATTAAGAAGTTTGCATGTTCACAATGATGACTATAATGAACTTCTTGATATGTAAGTCTAAAGTCAAGGCAAGCAATGTAATCATCCTTTAGTCTCTCAAATTCTACAACACTAATGATCAATGTGTTTAGAAAGTGGATTTCCTACTCAAGGCATTAGCTACCTTATTCTCAACTCTGGCTTAACACTTTATAATGAAAGTGAACTTTTGCATAAATTTGACCCACTTAGCATGTTTGGCATTCAAGTGCCTTTATGACAAGGATGGTCGCTTCTCTCTCAAAATAATTCTAAGCTAACCTTAATGTATCAAAGGGCCAATTTAGGTCATCTTCCAATGGAAGT